GATACTTGGGGATATATATAGTGGCCAAACAAGTCAGCAAAAGCTGGATCATCCACAGGAAGGTCAATAGCAGGCCTTACGAAAACAACCTTCTGGGAGAAGGGCTCCAGGGTTGAGGCCTGTTCAAAATGTTCAGGTGGACTACACAGAAATGCCTAAAGTAGGGCAACTCAAATATCTGCTAGTAATTGTACATCACCTAACAAATTGGGTAGAGGCAATTCTGCTAGTTAGTACAACTGCCAATAATGTTAGTAAGGTATTATTAGAAACTAAAATTCCTAGATTTGAACTGGTGGAAAACATAGATTCAGACAATGGAAGCCATTTTACAGTCACTATAATCCTAGAGCTTAAAAAAGCATTAGGTATAAAATGGGAATATCACAACTCCTTGGCATCCCCCTCATAGGGAAAGGTAGAAAGAACGAACCAGACCTTAAAGAGACAAATGGCAAAACTAATGTTGGAGACAAAGCTTCCTTGGATTAAATGCCTCCCCATTGCACTCCAGCACATCTAGACTGCTCCCAGAAAGGATATCAGACTCTCCCTTTATGAAATGTTAGATGGTTTGTCTTACTTAGAAAAAAAACCACTGACTGTCTTACTATGGAAACAAAGGATCAATTCCTTAAAACTATATACTGGGTATCTCTTCTACTTTACTTTCTCTCAGGTTGCAGGGTCTTTTAGGCCAGACTCCTCCTCTAGAGTTCCTGGCTCACTCTCACCAGTTAGGAGACACATCCTAATAAAAGTGTGGAGAAAAATAAGTTGTAACCTTCCCGGAAGGGACTCTACCAAGTCCTGCTCACAACTGAAACTGCTGTTTAGATCTCAGAATGAGGTGGAACCCACGACACTAGAGTCAAGAACACCCCCATCTCAGTCACTACAGAGGAAGAATGACTGACGGTGGTCCCACAACATGACCCTACAAAACTAACTTTAAAAAGGCTATAATAATTTGCTTGCTCATGATGAATGCTTTTTCTGATAAAGGGAGAGGCCAGGGATGGACCCCAGATAAACTTTTTCCTATAAACCTGACTATAAACATAACCAAGTTCCCCATCACACCAGTCACAAGGTTTGACGCCTATCAGTCCCTGCCTTGTGAAGATTTAAATAATCAGAGACAGTTGTCACAAAAGGACAAATTCTTATGTCCTGCATGGGAAACTAGTACAAATGGGGAGGAGGTGGTTTTATTTATCCTGGAGTGATGTCTGGTGGACTACTGATTATCAGGGACCCCTAGTTACTTACCTGCCTTGGCAGCCTTAAAACCCAAGTTACTTCTCACCAAAGGCACACCATCCAAACATTGCCAGGACCTCCAATATAATCCCCTTATACTAACCATTCTTAGACAAAAAGCCTGGGAAAATCCTAGAGTCACTCCTGGGATTTACAGTGTTGGAATCTTGGTGTCAGAAAAAGACCCCATCAGTAGATTCATGAAGTCTGAGTCATAAAATCTCCTATCTCTCCTCCTGCAGCCACCTCCCCAGGTTCTTCCCCTCTAATCCCAATGTTGGACCCCTGGAAGGGTTCCTTCCTTAAATCATCATGAAAAGGTTGTGATAACAGAGGTTACAGACCTAAGACAGACTTTACAAATAAAAAAAGGATATGGAGAGACAAATGCCTGGATGGAATGGATTAAATATTCTGTACACACCCTAAATAATGTGAATGGTTCACTTGTGCAGCAGGGAGACTGAAAACTTAGGTAGTTCTGTTCCCGATTGGTTGGTCCTCAGATGTTATAGGAACAGAATGCATGATCTCTCTATACTAGGATAGTACAGCTTGGGGGAACTCATCCTGCAAGACCTTGTTGTTGCTATTTCCAACAAGCAAGGGTCAAAAAGCAGAACCCCCCCCCCAAGACTTTCTGGTCACCTGCTGCCATTACTAACTCTATCTCCTTCCTCTCCAGGTGAGTGGGGGGAGTGTATTCAGTTTTCATGGGAAACTTGTCTGGATGCACTGGAGGTCAACTATTCAAGGAGATGACAAACAAATCTACACTAACCATCCCCCGAGCAGGTGTCTGGTGGTAATGTGGAGGACCATTGCTTGGGACTCTACCGGTTGATTGGAGTGGGACCTGTACTTTGGTCCAATTGACCATCCCTTTCACCCTTGCATTTCACCAACCCAACCAGTTGAAAGATTCCCATTCTGAATCAAAAGGAGCAGTGCCATGGCGGCTCCTGGTGGGTCTTTTGACCCCCACATTTATATAGTTGCAATTGGAGTCCCCTGAGGAGTACCAAATGAGTTTAAAGCTAGGAACCAAATAGCAGCATGATTTGAATCGGTCCTTTTTTGGTGTCTACCATTAATAAAAATGTAGGCTGGATTAATTATAATCAGCAAAGATTTGTCAATTTCACCAGAGATGCTGTTAAAGGAATAGCAGATTAGATGCCACTAGTCAAATGGCATGGGAAAACAGACTAGCCTTAGACATGATTCTAGCAAAAAAATGGGGAGTCTGTGTTATGATTGGGGGTCAATGCTATACTTTTATTCCTAAAACATAGCCTCTTATGGTACTATTACTAAGGCCTTATAGGGGATGACTACTTTAGCTAATGAATTAGCAGAGAACTTAGGAATAGATGATCCTTTCACTGACCTGCTGGAACAATGGTTTGAAAAATGGAAGGATATAATGGTGTGTATTTTCACTTTGATCATTGTACTTGGGGTAATGACGATTGTAGGATGTTGTATTATTCCCTGTATAAGAGGACTTGTCCAGAGATTAAAACTGCCCTCACCAAAGAAACTCCCATTTCCTATCAAAACAACCTCTTCCTTTTAGACACCACAAGTCAGTGTTAGAATTTTTTAAAAATATAGGTAAGTAACAAAATGAGGGGGAAATTGTAGGATTTCAAATTTAGGATTTAGACCTGTCTTTTCTGTCAAAGTAGCTTAACCAAATTCCTACCATCTTGAATCAACAGCCATTGAAACTTCATAGACTTTAAAATTTCATTTCCTTACATTTCATATTCCTGGAATCTTGAGTTTCATTTCCTTGCTGAGCTGTAAATGTCATCCCCTCCTCTACCCCAATCAATAGCCAATCACAAAGAGTTGTGAACCCAAGCGTGGACTAATCCTCATGAAGGGCAGGGTTGTGTTAGAGATAAAACCTGAGTGGACTTCCCACTTGGTGTGCTTGCTTACCAGACTTCTTGTTGGTTATATACCCTTCTGCAGAAGTAAAACTTTTGCCTCACTGAGTCTCTAGTAGTTTCTTCAAATCACTGTTCAGGAATCCTGAACAGCAGCAGTAGTGATTCCACCACATATATCAGCCACAGAACTGGCCTGCTCCTTTCTACCTTAGCCTCCAGAGTGTTGGGACTACAAGTGTGTAGTGCCTCTATTCCTTTATGAAAACGTGTAAACTTGCTGGTATGCAGCAAATGAATTAAACCACAGCACTTCACCTAAATTAATCTTGATTTTAGCTTTCCATCCCTAGACTAGTAGTGATTATGGAAGTATTTGTCACATCAGCATTTCATCTACATTTACTTTCAAACTGTTTATTCCTGACATCACACTTGTTCAGAGCCAAATCCACCACTGAAAATTACTCAGTGAGCATTTGCTCATCTATGAGTAAACAAATTTATCTTTTCAAAACCCTGGTAGTTGGTCTTATTCTAGTATTTCTTCTTTACCAATCATTTATGAAGCAGCTGCCCAGATACCTCTGTGACTCCTTTGATATGCTTTCACCAAATCCTGCTTGCACCTATGGTATAGTTCTGACTCCCTTATTTCTGCCATAACTTGTGTGTCACTGGCATCAGATTTTAAGGATATCCAAACCCATTCTCACACAGTCCTAGTGTGTGACAGTGTGCTCAGGTCCCATGATGTCTCTGCAGAATAAAGAACTTGCTGCAACTTTAGCCTATTTCAGTTGCCCTTTTGGTTTTTTGTCTTATGCAATCTGCAAAGATGACCATGAGGCAATGGGCCACTTCATGGTGGACTCGCTCAAGGACATTTTGCTCAAGAATCCTTTCCAAGGGCATCAACTATACAAACAGAAAGGATTTTCTCAGATTGTGTATAGTGCCTCACACAGTATCTCAGATGACACCTAGAATTTGAGAAGCAACTTAAATGTGTCCCTTGCATGGCAATAGGGAGGTTGGTGTAGCTTTACAGAAATGCTTCTTTGCATTTCCCACATGCCCTATTTCTTGAACCATGTTGGGGCTGTGTACAGTTCTAATATGCTACTAACCACCATGTCACCTTAAGACATTAAGTATTTTGCTCTCAGTCTTCAGAGACAAGCATGGTCTATAAGTAGCACTGTTTTCAGCCTAATGAAATGCATCTCAGGCCTTTGTTGGAAAAAACTTAGAATGAATGTAAACTGATTTCAATCATTGCGTTTGTGGTAACTTTTACAGCAGCCATAGATATCAAATTATAACCACTTTTCTAAGTTTGTCTGCTTTTAGAAAGGCTAGGTTTCACATTTTACTTAAACAATGATCAACTGTTCCTCCATCATGAGCATTTACTGTACAACCGAAAGAAAACTTCATTTTATTTCAAACGAGTAATGTCATTAACAAATTCCCATCTTTCACCACAATGTGGTAAAAAAGTAGAGTGAAATGACTCAGAGTAAATTCCAGGGCTCACATTTCTGACAACATTGGCAAACGTAAGTTTCACGGTCCTGTGGTGAACCTTTTTTGTTCTAGCACTAGGAAATAATCACCTTTACCTCAAGATTAAGTTTAATAAAAGCAAAATGTATAGAGGTATATATAACATTTTAAAGTACAACTAGATCGTGTTTGTTATCCCAACAATAACTACAAATAGTCGCTGGCATGAACCGTTTATAAATTCTTGGTTACTGCTGTTCTGAAAGGAGACTTCACTTGCAATCTTAAAAGAAAAGGCCCTGCTATTCCTCAAATGTCCTGCTGTTTTAGTCAGTGGGCATTGCTTGGGTCCATGTGTAGCAAGCGCTCTCTGCCATTGATCACCAGGGACTTTAACCGTCCATCTTCCTCCACTTCCACCCTCTCCTGGCCGTTCTCAACGATTCTCTTGGTGGTGACTTTTTTGCCATTGACTATTTCCGTGGACGTGGACATGGACTTGAAACTGCCCGTCCCACCATTGCGACAGGACATGGAGAAGGAGGAAAGGCCTTCATTTCCCAGGGAGCCGAAGCACGTGAATCCTCTGCTAAAAGAAAAGTCATCATCGAAAGCTGGAAATGCAGCGAAGGTGGAGAAGAGGGGCTCCGAGTCCCTGAATCTGCTTCTGCGGGAGCGTCTCCGGCCCCCCAAAACGTCCAGCGGGTCTCCGAAGAAGTCAAAGGCGAAAGGGTCGCGGCCGCCGAAGAAGTCCCTGAAGACGTCGGCGGGGTCGCGGAAGGTGAAGACGAACTCGTCCTGGCAGGGGCGGCCTCCTGGGTAGCCGCCATCGTCCATTCCGGCCTCGCCATAGCGGTCGTAGATGTCGCGTTTTCCGGCGTCCGACAGCACCTCGTAGGCCTGGGCCACCTGCTTGAACCTCCTTTCCGCCTCCTCCTTGTCGCCGGGGTTTTTGTCAGGGTGCCACCTGAGCGCCAGCTTGCGGTACGCCTTCTTGATGGCGTCTGTGGAGGCCTGCCGGGGCACGCCCAGCACCTCGTAGTAGTCCACCATGTTGTCGGGCCGGGCGGCCCGCGGGCCAGGGCGGGGCGAGGGGCGCAGCTGGCAGCTGGGGTGCTGCTGAGGCCGGGGCGCCCGCCACTGTGACGTGGCCGCATCCCATTGGTTGAGGCGAGGGCACCTGCGCATCCCAGCATGCAGTGCTCCCATGCTGTGTGCGGGCAGGGTGCTTCCGCCTACTCTCGCCCCGCCCACCGCGCCGTCCTTGTTCACTTCCGCCTCAGCTTGTCTTCTCCAGACAGGGCGGCAAAGGGGGGCTTGATGGGGATGGGGGGACGGGTGGAGTGACCGTGACTGCCTTAGAAATGTTTTCCTTCCTGAGGGCTTCAAATGAGGCTTTGCCCTCAGCCTGCGGGAGGGATAGGGTGACAGGAATGCGTTTTGTGTGGCTGGGAGTGAAGGACAGTCATGGGTCTTGTAGGACTGAGCTCTCAAATGTTTGGGCCTGAGGACCCGTTTACCTGTCGCAAGTATATGGGGTAATCAAATGTTATTTCAGTTCACGTGTTCCTTTACACTTAGGCCATTCCAAAGACTGAAGTCAGGGCAGAGGTTCAGGTAAGCTTTGCCGAGTAGGCGATGCACCTCACCTTTATTGAACTCATAAAAGTGGTGCAGAGATTGTGCCACCATTCACAATCTGTGTACTTTGCTGGGCTGTTCCTCTGTACATGAAATTGTGTGCCATTTAAGCTTGAGGTGAATCTTGCTATTCAACTTTGAATATTTATGAATATGTGGGTTTGATTTTGTGCTAGGCACATCCTGTTGCTGAGTTGGCAGGACCGGCTGTAAAGGAGAGGAGATTTGACCAAGCACTTTCTGGGGGAGATTAAATGTAATGAAAGAGCAAGGGCCTTAAGATGTAGATCAGCCTTGAGCCATTACATATGAGAGTGAGTAAAGGTCCCTGGGAAGTGGGGTGGTGGAGAGGAGGAATCTGGCTGGCATTTCTGATCCTTCAGTTTTGGCCAGTACTAGGCCAAGGTGCATCTGCTGTGATGAGTCAAGGAACTTCAAAGGGCCTGGTCTAGGGCACAGTGGGAGAACAGTCATGCTCAGGGTGGCCTTCCCGGTTTCTGGGATTTCCAGTTCTGTTCATGGTTATGCTTGAGAGAACTGACAGTTCAGGTCATGCAAGCTGAGCCCTCTTAGAAGTATCTCACATATAGGACTCAAAGATCCTGTTTGCTCAGGACTGTAAGATTTTATCATTGAAAGTACCATGTCCCAGGAAACTTTCAGTTGTGAGCTTGAATGTCCTTGAAATGACTTCTGATGATTCAGCAAAGCCCCTCAAAACAGTCATTTATGACAAAAGGTAAGAGAGAAGGTAAACTAGTAGGGCTGGAGGTGTGGCTCAAGTGGTATAGTGCTTGCCTAAATGCAAGGCCCTGAGTTTGAACCCCAGTGCCACAAAAATGAACGAATAAATAAGTAAGAAGAGTACTTTCTGCAGTTGTATTCATGATAAACATGCTAATGTGAAAGCAAATATTTAAAAATCTACATTTATAAATAAGATAATTTGAAGAATGTTTTACTCACTTCATAATGGAATATTTCAGTTCCTTTATAATTTATCAGTTTATTTAAACATTTTCCCTAGTAAATTTAAATCTTCAATTTATATAAAAAAGTCATCATAATAAAGTCTGATCACGATGTTCCTGTAAAGAGAGGAAACACTCCATTAGAAAAAGTATAGTGCCTATGAGATAAAAACAAACCAGGTGCTTACAAGTATAGCTTTCCCAGTACTGGGACCTGTGAGATGTTTTCTTCATGAGACTTTGTAAATGTGGAAGAAATATGATGTCACAGACAACTGCTTAGAATAAAAAGAAAAGGCACATTTGTTTAAAGGTGGCCCTGACAACTTCAAAAGGCAAAAGTAGTCAGATCTCATAATCTCTGTATGTTATTTATTGTATTGCTGTCAGCAAATTGGTACTAGGATGATCAAAACTTTATGGAAAGAAATGATGGCCAGTGGTGGCCTTCATTCAACAATAGTGTGTGTGTGTGCACAAACATTTGGGCATATGTATGCTTACCTGTGAGTGTGTATATGTCTGTCATATTTTTGGCATGTTGTCGTAATCTGCTTTCTATTGTAATAACAATACCTGAGGTGATTCAAAAAGGAGAGAAGTTTATTTGGCTCACATTTCTGGAAATTGGGAATTCCAAGTTGGGGGCTTCATGCTGTGTCATAACTTGGCAGAAAAACAGAAGGGCAAGTGTATTTTAGTGTGCAAAAGACAAAATACAAATACATCCTCACTTTATCAAAACTTGCTCTTTGAATAACTAACCCAGTCCTGTGAGAGAAAGGCATTAATCCCTCCATGATTTACCTCTTAAAGGCTCCTTCACCACTCAGTACCATGGCATTGGTGTCATACCCCAAATCCTTCATTGGAAATTAAAGTTCCCACACATGAACCTTTGAGGGGCAAATTCAAACCATTACATGGCAAAACCAATACTTGCTTTTTTTGAAAAGAGGCATCAGGGCTTGAGGTGTGGCAAGCAGTACAGTGTATACCTAACAAGTACGAAACCTTGTGTTCAGCCCCCAGTACTGCCAAGAAAGAGGCATTAGTCAGGAGGAGAGACAGCAGTCGGAGTATGTTCATATGGAAGGAGACAGGACACAGCAGGACACACCAAGCCTGAGAAAAGGAAAATGGGAGAGAATGGATGCTGACTTCAAGCATTTGAGATGCTAAGTGTGTGTGGTGACAGTGGATAAAAAGCAAAGGTGCACATAACCTGAGGCTAAAGTGCCCAGAGAACATGATGTCAGGGATCTCATTCCTTCACTCCCATCAGCTCCTCCTGGCCTGGCTTGTTAGCATCTTGCCATCAGCCCACACTTAGCACAGTAACAGCCTGACTTCTTTCCAGGCACTTATGAAACTTGTCCTGAGGTTCATATTATTAATATAATTGTGATCCTTTGTTTAATGCCATAGATAAACACTTGTAACCTAAAAATGACTTGGTACATGTTTGCTAGGATATTTTTGACCTTTTTAAACATCGATCTTAAGTTATTCTGTAACTTCATATATTTATTTTTAACTCACTTGTATCTGATTGCAAGTATTCATGTTTCCAACACTCTAAGCTGGAACTGTACCTTCACAAAATAAAGAAAAAATGGAAAGGATTCAAACATCACTTTTTGCAGACGACCAAGCCATAGCAGGTGTTCTTTAAATATTGAATGATGATAGGAAGTTCTAAGAAAATCTATCATGAGAGAAGATTTATATATAAGGAAGGTGTTTACCAGGATGTGTGGCCATATATTAATAATTATGCTATAATTTTGTTTCCAAATAAAATTACAGATATGTGTAAGGACAGCAGTGATCCTAATCTGTCCAGAATATGGGAATTTCTTATTTTTCTTTCTTTCCCTTCTTATTTTTGTTCTTTTCCTCCTCTTCATTCTCCTCCTCCTCCATCTTCTACTTCTAATGTGTCCACACCAAGAGTTAAAGTGTCTACTTCACTTTAGATTTAGTTGTTCTAATTCAACTGTCCACACTGTATAAAATAAACAAGGATCCATTTCACCTAAGACACAATCTTATGCTAAATTTAACTCTGAGGTGTTTGATATTTTAAGGATTTGAGTGAAAGCATATCACCAGCTTGGAGTCGACCCTTTGCAGTGGCTTTTGCTTTACCAGATTGGATTGACTGTATCCTCAAGTGGGAGAACCATCCATAATTTCTCCTTTATTTTACTATAAAGAAACTATATTTCTTTCTTTTGCTATAAAGGACAATGTAATGTTTGACAAAATTCTTAGTTCCTTATGTTACTATAAAGAAAATGTAATCTAAATTCCTGTGAAAATACCACTAAAATTAGAGTAGGAAGCAAGGACTAAATATTTGTAAAACTAAAGTTTTGGCTTCAGGTTCCTTACTTGTTTCCTTCCCCATGTCTGTATTTCTCTTCCTCCTATTTCTTCTCCTACTATTCCTTTTACACATAAAGGGTAGTAAGTGTGTGTGCTTTCTGGTTACAACAGAAACCCATTTCTCTTCCAAGTTTAGACAACCGACCAGTGTTACTAACTGGAAGCAGCCTAAGGGAAGGCTGTGCATTGCTGCGGGTGTTCCGGGTGTTCACGTAACTGTCTTTGCATTTAGCTACAAGGAGAACATCATGCGCCTCTCCAGCCTTCACAAAGACCGTCCCATAGAGCCACTGGACCTGGCTGTGTTCTGGGTGGAGTACGTGATGAGACACAAGGGGGCCCCACACCTGCGCCCTGCAGCCCATGACCTCACCTGGTACCAGTACCACTCCTTGGATGTGATTGGCTTCCTCCTGGCCATCGTGCTGACAGTGGCTTTCATCATCTTTAAATCTTGTGCCTATGTCTTCCGGAAATGCTTTGGGAAAAAGGGGCGAGTTAAGAAAGCCCACAAATCCAAGACTCACTGAGAAGTGGGTGGGAAATAAGGAGAAATTTTGTTGTATTCTCCAATCAGTTGCACTCTTGAAAACAGAATCAGAGTTAAATTCATTTTATTCTTATTAAGGAAGTACTTTGCCGTAAGTTAGACATCCCCATAGCACTGTTTTAAAAAATAAAAATTATTTACATCAGGTGTGGTCATACATGCATGTAATCCCAGCTACTCAGGAGGCAGAGATAGAGATCAGTTTGAGGCAGAGATAAGGAAGATCAATTGAGACCCCATCTCAACTAATAGCTGGGCATGGTGGTGCACACCTGTCATCTTAGCTATGCAGGATGCATAAAATAGGATTGTAGTCCAGACTGGCCTAGTCAAAAACATGAGAGCATATTTGAAAAATAGGTATAAAACAAAAATGATTGAGGGTGTGGCTTGAGTAGTAGTCTGGGTCATAAGCAGGGCTCTGAGTTCAAACCCCTGGATAACAAAAATAAATAATTCACATATAATCACACTGGCCACAAACAACCACTGTTACTGCTGCAGTTTGGATCTTAAATGTTCCACAAAGGCCCCTTGTTGAACGTTTGGTCCCCAGCCCTTGGCACTGTTGGGTGATAGTAGATCCATTAAGAGGTGGAGGCTACTGAGAAAAAGTTATATTCCTCTGAGTGTGCCCTTAAAGGTGATATTGATACCCAGTCCTTCTGCTTTCTTTGCTTCCCAGCTGCAATGAAGTGAGCAGTTTCCACCACATCTCCTACAATGACCTGCCCCACCGCAGGCCCCAAGCATCAGGGCCCAGTGACCATGGACTATGCCCAAGTAATCCATTCTTTATAAGCTGATTTAGCTCAGGTGTTTGTTATAGTAACCAAAATCTGATTAACACAGTTACTGTTTTGGCAAATACACATACTTACAAGGTATTGTAGGTATACCTAGCGTTTTCTAACATTCCTTATGAGTCTATTTTGCACTATTACCATGAAACACATGAGGCAACTAACTTACAAAAAGGAAATAATTATTTAGCCTACATTCTTAGGGGTTGAAAAGCCTTGTGCCTGGCTGGGCTTAGTTCTGGTGAGGGTGGCAGAAGTTGGCATACAATGGCAGAAGTATGTGACAGATGTGAAACCATTGCTCACATCTTGAACTAGGAGCAGAGCCGGAGCACCCATCTGGAATCTCACAGTCCCCTGAGGGCACACTCCCACTGACCTAAGAACCTCCCATTAGGACCTAAGGTTTCTAGCCCCTCTCAGTAGTGCCCAGGGCTTTAGCACATGGGCCTTTGGAAAATACTCCAGATCCAAGCTATAGCATTCTGTCACTGCCCCAAAGGTTCATCTGTCTCACAATGCAAAATACCTTCATTCCACCCGCACCCCAATATTTCTCAATTCTACTGTTCCAGCATTACTCAAAAGTCCAAGGCCAAAGTCCCATCAGAGATACTAAGTTAACTCACTTGTGAAACTAAAAATTTAAAAACAAGTCACACACCTACAGGATACAGTAACAGCGTGGGCATGTGGTAAATATTCCTACTCCAAAAGAGAGGAAGAGGAAATGAAAAGGGGGCTCATTTCAAAGCAAGAATGAAACCCAGTAGGGCAAACATTAAATCCTAAAGCTCCTTGTCTGGCATCTGGGGCAGACTATGATGGGGTGTGGTCTCCCAAGGGCTTGGTCATTTCCACCAGTGTGGCTTTGCTGGACACAGTGTACAAGACTGGCTCCCTGAAGCTGGTTTTTATGCTGCCTGAAGCTTTCTGTAGTGGGCATTGTGTGTTGCTGGCATCTCTATCTTCCTGGGTCTCCACTCTGTCTTGGCTCCCTCAGCTTTACCACGCATCACCCCATTAGGTTCTTCTACCTTGCAGCACAATTCTGCCAGGCCTCCTGGGCTTTCCTGTGGAATCTCAGAAAAGGCTGCTGTGACCCTGTATCTTTTCATTCTTCAAGCCTGTAAAACCAGCTTCATGGATGATATCAAAGTCTGATATTGGGAGGACACAGCCATGGCTATAGAGTGCTTGCTGGTTGAATGGGGGAACTGAAATCTGAGCAGCCCTGGACACAGAAGTGACATAACTTTTTCTTGGCCCTGTGAGCCCCTCATGTTTCTCCCCATTCTCTTGTATTCTACCCCACTGCTATGAGAACTGTCTGATTGAGCCTTACTCAATGACCTCACTGTAACCTCAGCCAATAGCTAGTCAACAGCTAGCCCTCAGCCTCCCATCAGCTGACTGAATATGCATGATAGACTCCAGTTGTCTTGAGTAGACATGGTCCAGGTCAGCAGAACCAACCAGCTGACCCATGGACTTAGGGACAATAATGTTTGTTTCTAGTCATTAAGTGGTGGTTTGTTACACACCAATGACTAACTGACACAGTCACTTCTGGCTTTAAAGCATGATCTTTTCATGTATTCTGTCTGAAAACTCACAGAGGACAAATTTGTCAGCTATCCACTTTTTGTCCACCACAAGCGTGGAGAACCATGCTTAGCTGTACACAGTAGGCATGCAGTCAATGTATGTGGATTTTATTTAAATTGCAACCATGTGACTTGAGTAATCTTTGGAAGAAATGAAGTGGGGAGTGGGAGGAGGCAATGCAGAGAGGACTGCACATAGAAACTGTCTATTCTGTGTTCATCAATGAGTCTCCAAAGGGAAAAGAACTAAGAACAATGCAAGAATTTTTATGGAGAAAGACATGTTTGGCATGAAGCACAAGAAACTCATTTTCTAATCACCCAAATGCCATGAAGTAGGAAAAAAATGGGTTGCTATCTTTAGCCAACCAGGCTAAAGAATTCCCACTGGCAGGATGGGCAAATTCAAGTATATATTTTAACCAAGAACCTTTGGACCAACATGGCTCTGAGTCTTATTCTTTTGCCCTGCAATGAATACTTTCCCAAAGGCCAGTATTTCATTGTGCAAACTATTGATCTGGACCATCTTTCTTAGCTACAAGTGACAGGGGTATACTTTCTGACCTACTTTTAGTTTAGGGAGGCCGGGTTCCTGTTCTCTTACTTGTCTTTGAGGTTCTTTGTCTTCTAAATAAAGAACTTAGTGGGGAACCACTTCTCCATCCTGCACATTGCTCAGTCCTTGGCAAGGAGGCATCCTCTTCCCCACACTTCCCATCCTGAGCTCCATCTCCTTGGGACTTGTGACTCACCCACTCCCACCATTTCCCGCACAGGCCATAATACATAAGCACACACATGTGGGCAACAGAAATATTAAATGACACCGTGATGTGAAGCTGCTATCCCAGGGTACCACGTACTCCTCAAATCCCTTCAGGGGATTGAGGAAGGCAGTTGGATCTCAAAGTTCCAAGGGTCTAGGATCTAACAGTCTAAGGAAACTCTCCCATCCTGCCAGGAGACTGATTCCTCATGAGAATTGTGGAGAAGCCCAACTGTCTCCCATGGACAGCAGAACCTGCCATTTGTTCATATTTCCATTGATGCATCATTAGGCAAAGAACAGAGCTTTTCTTTGTATGCTTTTCCATCCAGAAGAGGACTCTGTGAAAAGGTCCCAGATTTCAGAGGTAAAGAGCACAAGGTGATGAAGGGCTCTAGGCTGGACCTGAAGATCAAAAAACTTGGGACAGGAGGAGAAATCTGGGAGCTTTTAATTCTCCATCTTGACACTCATGCTGGTGTTTGTCAGCCTTTAAGAAGCTGTAGGTGTTGACAGAGCCCTTAAAAAGGGGTGATGAGAATAGCTGAGTTTATTAGTCACAAACTTTCCATGTCTAGAAAAGAGGAAGAGACTCTTCCTAATCATTGTATTATCTATTACTGTGTAACAAATTTTCACTAACTTAGAGGCTTGAAAGAATACCCATTTCTTATCCCAGTTTTCATGAGTCAAGAGTCAGAGGTAGTTTAGCTGGGTTCTTTGCTCTGGGTCTTAGCAGCTACAATCTAGGTGTTAGCTGGGCTGCATTCCTTTCTTAGTGCAGAGTCCTCTTCCAAGCTCATGTAATTGTTGACAGAATTCAGTTCCTTCTGGTTGTGGGACTGAGGCCTCAGTTCCTTACTACCAGGCCCCTCCATGGGCAGTTTACATCATGGCTGTTTAGTTTTTAAGGCCAGCAGGATATCTCTCTCCAGTCTGCTAAGATGGAGTCTTTTGTTAATAATGTGCTCATGAGAGTGACTTCCCATCCTCTTTGCCGTGCAACATAACCTACTCAAGGGAGGGACTTCCCACAGGCATTGCCATATAAAGTAACCCAGTCAAGATGAGACATCACATCAGCTTTGCCATATTCTAATGTTTAGAATCAAGTCAATGCTTTGCCCACACTCAGGTGGATTTAAACAAGGGTGTGAATTACTGGGGAGTTATTTTAGGGTATCTTGTCACACCAAGAATTTTACAAATCTCATTTATCTCAAAAGAACTGAAGAGATGGCAGAAGTAGCTACAGACTTGAATGGAGATGTGTTGGAGGAAACAGAAGACCTCGAACCTCTTGAATCAGATGACAGTGGTAAGGAAGTCACCAACATCCCTGTAATGTCTGTTCCTCCATTTGCACAGTGGACATGATGCCACAAGTGCAGCTGGAGGCCAAGGTTGCTGGAATATCTCCTGTGACAGTCATCTCACTGTGCCATCTTTGTTTTAGGTACCTTCCAACAAGTTGCAAACCTTCTGAACATCATGGACAGCGAGTCATCAAAGACAGACACAGCTGGGTCAGGTCTTGATATGCGGAAGACCCTGGCCTCAGTGATAATCACAGAGAAGGCCATCACCAAACCCTCTGTGGTGATGAATGCTCTTATCCACTGCCTGCAGGTGCCCAAGGTAAGGCCATCTCACCCTTGGTGCTATCCTCTGAGAGCAGCCACCTTCAGCTGCCTGTATCCACCTGCTACTTAGCACCATTTGTGTACATCAGAGACACAGTGCCAGGTGCTGGAATGCAGAGATGGGCAAGGCTGGGAGGTGCTCACTCCTCCAGGGCCATTTATGGCTGGGGCTTTCATATTCTGAAAGCTCCTTGTGGTCTACACAGTGGGTTTTGGAGCCACCTCATTGGGCTGTGGGCTGTGGATTGGTTGGTATTTTAATCTACTCAGACTGCCATAACAGAATACCATAGACTATGTGCCTTAAGCAACAGAGATTTATTTTCTCAGAGTTCTAGAGCCCAAAAGTCCTTGATTAAGGTGCCAACAGATCTGGTTTCTGCTGATGTTCTCTTTCTGACTTGCAGACAGCTGCCCTCTCCTTTCCTCTGTGCAGGCACACAGAGAGAGCTCTCTTTAGCCTCTCCTCTTAGAAGGACACCAGGCCCACTGGATTAGGGCCCCACCCTTATGACCTCATTTCACTTTAATTATTTCCCAAAAGCCTATCTCTAAATACCATCCAACTCAGTGCTAGTGCTTCATCATAGGAATTTTGAGAGGGCACAACTCAGTCTATAGCAGATTTGTTTGTTTATTTATTTATTCTTTGAAAAGCGTACACATGGACAACTGTATATATCTCCAGGAGCTGGCTAACTCTGGAAGGGGAAGTCTCTCTAGGGTCAGTCATGCCAGATGTCAAAACATCAGAAACTACAGAAAACTAATACATAGGCATAAGCCTTAATCAGAGGTCAGTGGCAATAAACTAGAAGTAATCATATTTTTTAAATTAACATGCATCAAAGATTTTATTTATTCCTTAATGAGTGAAGGAACCAGCAAAGTGTTAATTAAAAGTTGTTCAAATGAGAATTTGTATTCTTTATCAGACAAAATCCATTTATGTTTTCCTGAATAGGAATTATTTTCAATGATGTAGAGGAAACATTTACCATCAGTTCTCTATAATTTAACTTCCATCACCATAGACCTGTAAAATAGCCTAGACAATCAGAGGCCAGCCAAAATGCACAGCCCCACAGTGATCTCTGAGCCTCCACCAGACAACACCAAGCCCTCCTCTAGAAGGCCACTGAGGACTCACTTTTACCATTTTCCATATCTTTGATAGGTTTTCTCTTGTAGTTATAAATATTCCCCAAAGGCCCACCCTTCCTTCCTCCCTCCCTCTCACCTTCTCTCTCTCCCTCCCTCCTTCCCTCCCTTTCTTCTTTCCTTCCTCTGATTGACATAATAATAATAATAATAATAACAATGATACACACTTATGGGGTACAGTATGATGTTTTGAATCATGTACACATTGTATAATGCTCAAACTAGGTATTCACCATATTTATCACCTTAAAATTTTATCATTTCTTTATGAGTACATTCAAAATCCTCTCATCTAGCTATTTTGAGATATACAGTGCATTATCACTAACTATAAGTCACCCTATTGTGCAATAGAGCATCAGAATTGTTCCTCCTCTTTAACTGTCATACTGTGCCCACTGATCAACATCACCCCATCCTCCTCTTTTACTCTCCCCAGCCTCTGGTAATCTATTTATGGACCTTGAAGTTGATTCCATAACTTGGCTATTTTGAATATGCTTTCCCATTTTTATTGAAGGTCATTCTTGATCACAAAAATATGATCTTATTATAATTTGCCTGTTATTTATATAGGGTGATAATTAAGTATATAGGACTCCTTGAATTTGCTTTGGAAACCTAGAGCATGCATTCTCAATGGATAAAACTCCCAAGAGGATAAAACTTGTTCTTGAAGGATGAAGAAAATTCTAATTTTTATGTAGAAAACATGGATATATGTACACTCACATGGACAGGTATATAGTATATCCATACTATTTAAGTTTCACTGAGGAGCAATTCAGACTACAAAAGCAATTACAGTAATAAAGGTTGGAAACATTGACCTAGAGCCATTCATAACTGAGCAGCTATTAAGGCCACAGAATTCACTTTTTGTCCAGGAGTTACCAAAGGGAATCTCTGCCTGGAGTTCTACTGATCTCTATTATTTTCTGTCCCACACCTAGAAAACTGAGGCCCAGATTTCTGTGCTGGTTTTCACCAGCAGAACTTGAATGCATTCTTCTCTTCTAGAGGCCTTCAAATTTGCAAAGGTTCCTGGACTTCTACTACCTGAGGCAGCAGGCATTTCCTTAGAGGCTTCGCAAGCATTGAGCTTACATATAAAGTCAAAGTTCTTTAAGAGTGGCCTGTCTCCTTGAGAGGCAGAGATAGGAGAATCATGGTTCAAGGCCAGCAGGGGCAAAAAGCATGAGACCCTATCTGAAAAAATAACTAAAAGAAAAAAGGGCTGGAGTGTGGCTCAAGTGGTAAAGCACCTGACTGGCAAGCTTGAGGTCCTCGTTCAAACCCCAGTACCATCCAAAAACAAAGAAAAAGGATTAGCTTATCATGCCTAATTAAATGAGGGCCATTCTCAAATGTGACTGTATAATATTGTCCTGGGTATATAATTGTCAGTCCAATTCCATCCTAATTCAGGTCATCTTAAATGCTGATCAGTACTGCCCAATAAGGAATCAAAAGAGAGAGAGAGGCACATCTGTCTCAAGTGCTCCCTCACTGGGGCAAAGGGCAGGGCAAGCCTGTCTTCTTGGGCTCTTAAGATGTCTAGTGTCCAGAGTGTAGACAGCTTCCTGTGCGAGCCATCTGACACCTTCCTTGCTAAGTATTTACTGAAATAGAACCAGTTTGTAAGCTGTATTGACAAGGCCAATTGGATAAGTGGGAGAGAAGTGGAAGAAGTTGGAGATAGAAGATCTGAGATCTGAGACTTGGTGGTTGGAAGATGGTAGTCACCTTCTCCAGATGGGGTGGAAAAGAGGAGGACAGTAAGAGATAGAGGAGATGGAGTCATGGTTGGGGGGTAGTTGGAGTCCATCCCTTACCCTATGGCCCAGCCAGGGGTCTCCCTACCTACCATGCTTATTCCCAGATTTCCATCCAGCGCAAGGTCGACATTTACAACATCCTCCAGAACATCATCCAGCAGGAAGGAGAGCTGGAGGGGCAGTGTGTGCAGAGGCTGGTGACCATCGCCTCTGAGGAGATGAGGGAGATCCCAGAGGTAGCAGGGCTTGGACTCCATTGTGCCTTCCCTCTTATAGTCTAGGAGCTGGGCCCCTTGTGGACCTGGCCTGAGAGGCCCAAGACCCCTCTGCAGTCACCTCGTGGCACTGGGAAGGCTGAGCCCAAATGTGGAGGGGTGTGGGGTTGGGGGCTTCATGAAGGCCCAGCCATTGGTAGTACTTCTCTATGCCTTGCAGATGGAGAGCTATATGAAGGCAGAGGTGGCCAGTGACACTCTAGTGGCTCTCTCCCGAAAATACTTCAGTTTGGTTATGTATGAGCTTCAGCACCACCTCAAACCCCTAATACTCACCGATGAATTTGTCATTGTCACCTTGGCCAAGCTGGCCAATGGCAACGGTAGGACTCTGAGGCCAGGTCCAGTTAATGGCCCATTTGGGACAGCCTAAGTCTCCTTCCAGGTCTCTGCCTCTCAGTCTTTGCTATCTCTGTCTCTGACTCCTCCCTCCCTTTCCATTTCTTTTTCTCTGATAGTCCTTTTTCTGGCTCTTTGTGTCTCTGTCTCTCTCAGCCATTAATATTCTTCCTGTGTCTGCCTCTCTTTTTTTCTTTATTCTTCTGTCTCTCTCTGTACTCTCCTCTTTCCCTGCTTTATTTTCTGTCTTCCCACCTCTGTTGCTCTTTTTATTTCTTTTCGCCCTCCCCTCCTTTCCTATCCTTTCATCCCACAAATATGTACTGAACTCCTATTCTCTGTGGAGCTTGTGATGGGCATTGGACCATAAGGGTGATTAAAACACACATGGTCCCTATCCTCAGAAGGGGACCATAAATAAGCAAGAAAGTAGATTTTTATATCAGACAATAGGTGGAAGAGAACAGCCAAGTGGCCATTTGAAATCAGACTGTCTGAGGTGCTCTCATCTATGTAGAACCATGAGTGAGATTGCCATATTTTAGCTGAGACCTGAATGATGAGATGAAGATGTCCCTGTGATGAACAGGATGGGAAGAACATTCCAAATGGAAATAACACCATGTGAAAAGGCCATGAGGCAGAAAAGAGCTTGGTTTCTCTGAAGACCTGAGAGGTCACTGTGGCTGGAGGTAGAGAGAGTGAGGAGGAGATGGCATTAGGTGAGGAGAGTTAGGTAGGGCCAGTGGCTCACCAAAGTCTGGGCTTTATTTTGGGGCACTAGGGGACTCATGAAGGATTCTAAGCTGTAGAAAGTTAAGTTCAAGGAAGACCATTCTGGCCATTGTGTTGATGGAGAAGGGCTGGGTAGTATGGAACTGGAGGGGATGGCCACGTTTGGTGACAGTGGACAGCTATGAGATGGACCCTGGCTGATGCAGTCAGTGTGGGAGTGAAGGCACAGGAATCAAGCAAATGTGTGGGAGGGGGAGCACACTCCCAAGAGGGAAACATGGGTGAGAGTTTGAGGACTCAAGTAAAGATTCTAGTTTTGGGTGGTGTCTGGGCAGAGAGGCTGAGGAGGCAGTGGAGTTACGGATTTCTGAATGCAGAGCTCAGAGGTAAGTCTGGGTTGAATATTATTCTACTAGCCCCAGATTGCAGGCAGTGTTCAAAGCTATCGTCACACAGGGAGTGAGAGTAGCAATAGGAGAGCTGGGGCAAGAAACCGCAACATGGAAATGTCCTCGGAGGAGTCATAAGAGCACTGGGAGGGAAAGGAGGACAGGGTGTGTCAGGCCTGTGAAGGGCAGTGCAGATGCAGATCCATGGGGCTACATCTAGACAGATCCATCACAAGATGAAAATACCCTAGGTCAAAAGTGTCTTGAATCTACTACCTTACTAAACACCATGGCTTAGCAACATTGTGCACTATATAGTCTCAGCTTCTTCCCTCAGGACTTGTGGGTGAGCCTGTGAGCTGCCTGGTGCTCACAAAGCACCAGGTATACAAAGCCCTAGCCTGGGAAAGGTCCAAATTCAAAAGTGGAAGTATGGTTTCTTGGGAATGCATATTGTAAAGTGTAATCCAGAAAGGGCCAAGACATCAGGTGCTTCCATTTCTGCTGAGTGAACAGTATGAGGAGTCGGAGGGGAGGGTTGTGGGGGTGTTGCTTAGTATCCTGGAGATGGAGGTCTGGCTGGGAGGTGAAGGGAAAAGACCCTGAGAGAGGGGTCAAGATAGGGAGATAAATGTAGATTTTATCATCTTATCATTATGAATATGCATATGATTTTATTACTATCAAGTCTGAGGAAGGTTGGAATGGCACTCGCAGAGTGAGTGGAGGGGTCTGTCAGGGGTTTCTCTTTCTTCTGTGTCTGCAATTCCTCTCTGCCTGCTCTCTTCCTCTGTTGGCCTCATGTCCTCTCTGTAATTCTCTCATCTACCATCATCCACCCAAGGACCAGGAACTCTGGGGACCCCTCAGGAGTCAGAAAGTGGGTCCCCGGAGGCAGAGGTGTTTTGTGAGCTCACCCTGGGAGTCTTGCTTTCCTTCCACTTTTGCCTTCCTCCTTCTGTGGCCCATTGTGTCCTCTCATCTTCAGTCTCCCTCTGGCCTCCTCTTCCTGCTACTTTGTCCTTCCCTCTTTTTCCTGCTTCCCTTCTCCTGTCCATCTTCCTTTCTCCTTCCCCGGATTCTAGCTCACTCTTTTTACACATGACTGATTCCCACAGTTTCCCCAGCCAGAGCAAAGGGTTCCCTGACTCTAGACTATTGGGGGCTGGAGGCAGTGGGCACCAGTATTGCCCTCTCTGCCTTCTTCCATCTCACCCATTCCTTAACTCTCCATCACTTCTTCCCTACCCATCAGTGTTTGAGTTCATGCCATACATGGGCATCACGCTGGCTACCATATTCACCATGCTGAGACTGGCCAATGAAGCCAAGATGCGACAGGTGATCTGTAGTGGTGCGTTTCCCACATGGGCCCTCAGGTCTGGCCTGATCAAGATACTGGAGAGGGAAAGCAGAGTAAGGAGTAGGTAGAAGGGTTGTTGAGCAAGAGGTATGTTGTACTTGTTCCCAAACACTTGCTCAATCTCCTACTTTGTTTGGCCTGTGATCAGCTCTCTTGGAGCAGGTGGCTGAGACATGTGGATGCCTTTTAGAAGTTGATGACTGTCGCTGTGGCTCTGTGTACCTTGCTGTATACTTAAGCATTTCAGGAGACCAGAGAAGGGTGATGGGCATTTGTAGGAGAAGGTCAAGGAAAAATGTCTCCTTTTGGGACTTGACTTGGAGAAGGTCTTCAATGCTATTTAAATCTGATCCCCTTGCCCCAAGGTATGGTTCCATAACATTGCTGTGAGCTAAGAAATACTGATATCAGAGAAAAATAGGGTCAAGTGTGTTCTTCTTCCCTGGAGACCCTAGGGTGTAGGCAGAGAATCGTCCTCCAGGCCCCAACTTTGACCTGGCATCCTCAAAAGGTAGAGGCCTGGATACACCCATGTACCCAATGTTCACATGAATGTGCAGAATCAGGGACTGATTCTGGGTAGAGAAGGAAGAGAGGAGGGTCTCAGCAAGCCAGGGAAGGTGGGTGAGAAGGTTTGGCTCTACCTCTTGCTGCTCTGGCCCCATCTGCCTCCCTGTGCCACTGGCAGCCATGGCGACCTTCTGTGGGACAGTGCAGTTTTACCTGCGGCACCTGGAGGGCAGCGCGTACCCTGTGATGACAGAGGAGCAGTTTGCTGTGAAGCTCTTCCCCATGTATCGCTACTTCATTTCTGTGTGGCTGAAGCACCAGCAGCCTGAGGTGAGACACACCTTGTTTGGGAACCATGTGCCCTTTGCTTCCTTCAGTCAGACTCCCCAGTCTATGAGGTCAGGAGATAAAGAGAGTCCACTGGACCCAGCCTTATTCCTGGGACCTCAGAAGGCCCATAAGATTTGGATGCCTAATGGTATAGACCAGCAAGGCTTGCTTCATGAGCTGGACCTCGATAAAGGTCCTAGGGAAGCATAAGATGCGTGTCACTATACTTCTGAGAGTCACTGTTCCATACTGGCACTCTCCCAGTGTCTTGCTAATGGGAGTTGTTTCCACACCAACTCTGTGATGTAAGACAATTTTAAAAATAAGGAAAATGAGGCACATGGGTTTAACCACCACATGAGGCCACTTGGCTCGTAAGTGGGACTCAAACCAGGTTGTCTGGCCGCACTATACCACTTGTGGTGCCTTGGAGCAGAGCCTGGACTCTTGTCTTTAAGGTCCCCTCTGTTGTGTGTCTTTGGGATCTGTGGGTGGGGCTGAGATTGCTGACCCTGCTGTGTTTGGGGACCATGCTTCCTGTGGCAGGTGAAGCTGGGGGTTATCAAGTCTCTGAGGTCCATGCTGAACATCCTCCTGCCTAGTGGTGACCTACGGGAGCAGGTCTATGACTACATCCCAGTGTTGCTGGCTGAGTACCAGGGTGGCCTGGAGGCCCTCTTCATCACCCAGGTGAGACCAGGTGCCAATGATCCTGGACAGGTGGCTCAGGAAATATGGGATTCCAAGTGTCTGAGGGTATCATCTGGGAAGAAGGGGATGCAGATATTTTAACATCATGTCAAGCAAACCAAACGTCTGTCCCCTACAAGGGGTCAGGAAACCTGGCACTTGTCAGGTGTGTGGAAAATAAACTCTGTCTTGTAGCTCTCAGGGAGATCCTAGCCTGCTGTTAATCCTTAGGGCCGCTGCAGCTAAGTACCATTAGGGTGTTCAAATCCTAATTACATCGTCACAGGCCTTGTTTCCAAGTAAGGTAACATTCTGAAGTTCTGGGTGCACATGAATTGGGAAGGACACCATCCAGCCCCCTCCCACAGCCTTTAACACAGTGTGAGGAGGTGTTGCAGGGTTTGGTGTGGAGGCCTGGCCTGGGCTGATGGACACTGTAAAGAGGTTACTGATCGACAAACAAGGCATGGTCCTAAGCTGTAAAAGCAAGGGATAGAAATGAATGTGACAGATTGAGGGAACCACCTGTGGATCATTCTGGCTAAAGAATGGGACTCACCTCCACATGGCTAGTAGAAGAATGTGAAAAGGGCCTTAAGTGCCATTTTCAGTGGCCCACATAGCACTTTCCAAGTTTACTATGTATAGGAGTCACTTGGGGCTAGTGGAAGTACAGTCTGACCCATGGGTCTGAAGAGGGCCTCAGTCAGCTCCTGGGGGTGCTGGTACCACCACTCAATAGCCCACTGAGTAGCAAGGTCTAGAGTTGGACCCTGAGTCAGCAGAAAGTGACCTGCAACCATCCATCTATCCGCTGCAGGTCTTGAGACAGATTTTGGAAGTGTCATTCACCACTAACACTCCCATTCCCCAAATGCAGCTACACCCCATTTTCACAGAACTGCATATCCAGGTGAGGCCAACAAGCCCCAGCTGGTGGGGACATCCTCAGGGTGGGTCAGCAGGAAGCAGCTGCAGGAAGTGGCCTAGGCCTTGGCTCACTTTCATCCCTCCTGTAACAAGGGCTGGGCTTCTCCTTGTCCCAGACCCCTATGATCTGCCCCTCTCCCTGCATTCCCCTCTCTGCAGGTGTGCACCAAGGCTCCAGCCCACCATCAGTTCAGCAGCCAGAACTTGACAGAGATCATACACTGCTTCATAGCCCTCGGTGAGGCTCCAACACAGGGCTGTTCCTTGCATGCCCCAAGCTCTGCAGGGATCCAAGGGTGGTCCCAGCTCCTCTGAGTGCTGGGGTTGGGGCTGATGCCCTGAGCTGGTCTGGGGCCCAGCAGGCATGACTGAAGCACTCCTTCCACCCAGCAGCTCGCTCCTACCCCAAGGAGCTGATGAAGTTCTTCTTCAGCCAAATGGAGATGAGCAAGGAGGCAATCCGTGTGGGGACGCTAACTCTGATCAAGGCATTGGTGAGCATGGATGGTGAGCATCAGTGGGGCAGGCAGGAGGGGCAGGATGGAGGAAGGGAAGGTGACTCTACTTATATCAGGGCCACTGCCACTTCATCTTTTGTAGACACTGCTGGGTGGGCCAATGGTGCCAAATTTCTTGGTTGCTTCATACTTTCTAATATTGGAACCTAACCATTGAGGTTCCCCACCACCACTCTTCTGGGTCTGACTCTCAAACTCTTAACCTAAATCCTGCTACTGACCTCTAACACTAAATCAAAGGCTGGATATCAGGTCTAAGTAGACCATGTAGGTATAATCCTAAAGCCTAGAGACTTAACGCCCACCCTGAATCCCTGACTGTAATCCCTAAGCCAAAACTTAAACCTGGTCTTGAAATTGCCCTTATGGTGTGCTGGGCACAGTATCATCTCATTTACTTCCCATAGCAGCTCTGTGAGGGAGGCACCGTTAAATTCACATCTTACAGGTAAGGAAATGGAGGCATAGAGGGCTCCATAATTCACCTGAGGTCACACCTGGGTGCAATGGAGCCAGGATTTGATCTCTGGAAGCCTGGCATGGAGCCCACACTCATCACAGCTATGCTATATGTCTGGAGCTGTGTACCCAGCTGTGGGAATTCAGTGCAGGGCTTCAGCTCTTGGGTGGAGTCCCCGCTCTCAAGGGTTGTCCACCAGGGTCATATGAGTCATCTGCCAAGCAGTGGCCAAAGGAACAAGGTGTAAAAACAATGCCCTCTGGGCTTGAGGTCAGGGCACTGCTGTGGGTACTCATAGGAGAGGGCTAGGTCCGGGGGGAGCCTGGCCAGTGAGAATACTAAGAAAGTGTCCCTGAGCTTGGGAGCTGATGAAGGGGACCGAACATGAGGGGGCAGGGACTTGCCATTTGACTTCTTCCTAAGCCACAGCCCTTCAGGCCAGTCTTCCTCTTTCAGAGCCCAAAATGAGTATCAGGACCATCTACCTGGCCATTCGGGTGGTCAAGCACACCCTTTCTGACAGCCGGTCCAAGGTAACAGGGCAGGGATCTGGAATGGATGGTGTACATGGGGACTCTGGCAGGGAAGCCAGCTCTGTGGGGTGGAGGACTTTGAAAGAACACCTGGATTCTGGCCAAGTCCTGACCAGGGCCAGAGGAGAGAGAGGCCAATGAAAGCTGCAGGTACGCAATTAGGACATTTTGTTTTCACCCAGGACCCAGCGTTTTCAAGTTGTGCCTCTAGCTCCTCCTTGCAGGGAGGAGAGGTCAAGCAAACCAGCTTCTGTGACAGCTGCTTGCTATGTAGGGCTTGTGTAAGGTCTTTACTGCAAATGAGTAAAGCAAATGGAGAACTCTCTCACCCCGCTAAGAAAAAAAGGCTGAAAACCACAGCCCCAGACTTCACACAGCCACAGGCAGCCTGGAATGTTGCTCTGGCTGCAGACTGGAAAAGAGATGCCAGGGCTAGGGGCACCACACAGAGATTTTGAGGAAAATGGGGAGAAGTGGAATGGTAGGGCTAGAGATTTAGATAGAGTTGTCTTCAATAAACAGAGGCTGTCTAGGGAAGAGAAAAATGCATAGTGAGTCTAGTGGGGTGAGTCCCAGGGAGCCCACAGTAAAAGATGGGTTTTCCCACTGGGGCCTCTAAGATGGAGCAGCCTACATTAGAAGGGGGTGGGGGTGCATGCCTCTGAAGGGCTCACCTGAAGCTTCTGCGTTGGGCACACCTCAGGGTGAGTTCTGCAGATGAGATGACCGGGGTGGTGGACAGAATGGTCAGGAGTTAGGTATCCCCTTGGAGCCCCTTCCACAGCACCCCCAATTCCTAGGTGTCTCATGTCTCAGGGTTGGGTGTTCAGTGCTGTGCCCCCAGGATGCCTATGGCACTGTCCCCTCAGGTGAGGATGGCCATTCTGCGCATCATTGGCCAGTTGGCTCTGTCTGGCTACCAGGAAAAGATCAAAGGCTGGGGTCTGAAATATGTGTCTGTGCAGCTGACCATGTCTACCTACAAACTGGTGAGTGGCCCCAGCATGCACTGCTGGACTTTAGAGATGGTTTCCAAAGAATTGAACAAAGAATGCTACTCAGTGCACCTGCATTTGGACCTATGTAGACATCATGATGTAAGTACGTGGACACACAGAGAACCTGCTGGCAAAAAGTGCATGCAGTCTCCCAGGCAGCAGGCCTATGCACAGCCCTGAATATCCTGGAACCCAGGGTCTGGGCAGGGAGCCCCCTGGGGAGTAACACCACCCCCAAGACCACAGCATATCCTTCCCTGCCAGCCTACCAGTGGGGATGCCTCTGTTGTACCTTCCAGACAAATCACCGGGAGACTTTTCATTGGAGGGATTTGGAGGAGAAGATGGTCCATAAAGTCACTATGGACACTGTGAAGATCATAACCTCTTCCCTCAGTGGCATGACCAATGTGAGTGAGTCTACTCCCTGCCCAGCGGGCCACCACAGCAGAGCTAATGAATGGCTCCTGCTGCACCTTGGCGGCTGGGAGATGAACTGAGCATGCCCAGAATCCTGTACTTCATTTCTCTTCCTCTTACCTGAGCTCCCCTTCCAAATCCAGTTCTGAAGCCAGGTCCTAAGTGGGAACCCATGCTCCATCCCTGTATTCCCAAAGGCTAGGGTAATGCCTGACACATAGTAGCTCTCAAAATGTATCACTTGGTTTATTAATATGTCCATTATTTTAAAGCACTTTCAGTTTGTGTGTGTGTGTGTGAGTTTGTGTGTATAATGAAACATTCAGCAACTGTCCATAACAGACATGAAGGTGTACACTAGGAGAGCTCAGTATGACCACAAGAAGTTCATATGTTATAGGAGAAACAAATGTGTTGACTTTTAATTGTAATGAAATGTGACATAGCAATAAGATAGGAAATTTTATCATGAGAGCATCAAGAGGGAATGATCCATTAAGTGAGGCTAGATGCTTCCTACCCAGTGGAAGCTTACTTTCACTGAAGAGATAATGAGAACAATAATAATAGCTACAGTCCATAGATCACCCTTGTATAGTAGGCATTAAACAGGTGTGCAAAATGTATAATCTCATTTAGTTAGGAGTACGTTCTCTTATTATCCTGATTTTGCAGATGAAAAAATGAAGACTCACTGGTAAATAGGAAAGCCAGAGTTAAAATATGCTTTCTAACTCACCATGCTGCCTCTCCAGGAGAATCAAGGGGTTGGAAGCTTCTAGTCCCAGTGGCTGGAAAGGTCAAACCACCTCACTCATTAATTAGTAGTTCAGGAGCCTTGCCCTAAACTCTGGTGGTGGGAGAAGGGTAAAAGGGACCTGATTAGCTGGGGGCCTTGCATGGTCATCCAAGGAGAGGGGAACCAAGAATCTATACCAGTCAAGGTTCCCCAGAGAAACAGAATCAGTAGAAGGTACATGTAGTCTGATTAATGTCTGGATTTGACTCACACCATGGTGGGTCTGGCAAGTGTGAAACATGCAGGGCAGGCAGGCAGGCTGGAGACACAAGCAGGAGGGGAAGTTGCAATCTTCAGCAGAATTTCTTCTTCCTCACTTTCAATTGCTTGGATGAGATCCACCAATTTGTCAAGGATGATCTCCTTCATGGAGCATAGACTTTCATCATAGCTGTGTGACACCTCCACAACAATGCTAGAGTAGTGTATGATTGATGACTAGGTACTTTTTCCCAGCCAAGTTGACAAATAAATCAACGTCACAGCTGTTATTCTCAGCTATGTCACCTGCCTGGCACACAGCTCCAGAGGACTCAGGATCAGGAGTAGGAGGGCCCTGGATGAAGAGGCTGTAATGGGCATAGGGTTGGTATGAAGCTGGCAGGGTCAGGTGTTGAGCAGAACACATGACAGGCCAGTAGGATGGATGCTATCTAGATGCTCCTGATGAAGACTGGGGTTGACAGGAGAGTAAGCTGAGGACTGAGCTGTCAGAGATTCAAGACAGTTCTGGGGATGCTGGGTGGAGCCCACACTGTGGGTGGAGCCTGACTAATCTCCTTGGATGGCCATGGGTCACCTTTCCACCTAATTCTGGACCACCTTCTCCCCACCCTTGCCCTAGGAGTTCTGGATGAGGCTTCTGGGTTACATCATGGAGACAGACTACACAGAGGCCTTGACCCCTATCTGCATCAGCCTCACAAACCTGGCAAAGCAACAGCTCCAGGGCTGGGACACAGAGGCCAGTGTGTCGCGTGAGACCAGCCATGGTGGGCAGCGTCTCTGCATTGGCCGGTTGGATTGGGCAGGTGGGCCAGCTCCTTGTCACCTCTCTCTATGTACCCTTCTTCTCCAGAAAGCATCCACAATCTACCCTGCTATATCTAGAAGGTGTTAAAATCCTACAGACTTCCTTCTGAAGTCTCATTCCTCCTGTTTCCAGCCCATACACAACCCTGGGAAGCTCTTGGACCAGCCAGGACTAGGTGTGGCCTTCATCTGGCCTCTCTGAGCCAGCTAGAATAATTATAGCCTTCATCTGTAAACCAATCTCATTATGGTCCACACAGAGTGGACACAGGCTCTCGAGTGACTATGCCACTTACTGCATGTTGCTTCAGTGCCCCATCCCTCCTTCTTTCTCTTTTGATCCCAAGGCACCTTCCTGTGGGCCCAGGCTTTGCAGGGGTGGACATAGTTGGTGATGGAGGAGATTTAGGGAGGCTTTCAGGATCCTGGGATGTCAAAGGACAGGGCCTGCTGTCTGTGGTTGATCTGAGCAAGGCTAGTGGCCCACTTAAGTCTTCCTCATGGCCCTCCTACTCTATATTTTAGAGTTGAGTCCTCTGCTGGTCCTAACATCTGCAACTTCTCAACAGGCCTTGGTGCTTCCTTGCCCATCTGTCTAAGTTCTGTGGGTTTGCTCTTTACAGGGTCATTGCCTCCCAAAGCCTGCAGAGAAGGATAGGAGGTAGTCTGGGACGGAGGGGGGGGGTGGTACGCCTTTGTTACTACTGGTTCAACAAAGGCCAGGGTTCACAATAGGAGGCAAAAATATTGTTATGGAAAATACTGGTATCCACTAAAAAATGAGCATGACCTGAAAACCCAGCCCATTAGCATGACTCTCTCCTCTTCCTAGGAGAATTCCATGGCAATGATGCTCTTTATAGGAAAAATTTCTGGACTGACCCAGAAATTTGGGGGTAGGGAGATGGGATTGTGCCAAGAAGCACAACCAGGATAAAGTCTCTGGGCATATGGGGGCAATCCTAGTATGGACCATGCAGCCTCACTTGGGCCGCGTCTCCTTCCTCAGTGGACCTGCCTGCACCTCAGAAGCTGTTTGCCCGTCTTCTGGTGAGTGTCTGACCTGTGCCTACACTGACCTGGTCAGCCATACCCTGTAGCATCTCTCCCTTAAGTTCCTCACTCACAGAGCCCCAGAGAGAGAAGGGAGCCAGGGTGCAATGAGGAAACTGAGTATGTAGCAAGACAGTGTCCCATGTTTCTATTGTCCATCATGGGGGGAGATATGACAGGGGTAGTGGTGGTGTGCTCAGATGACTGGGACCCAGCCTCGACCTTCTCCCAGATTTCTTTGTCCAAAGCATCCCTAGAGCATCATCAATGTCCTGCCTCCCCTGGGGTGACTCAGTCCTGTGGACACTAATCTATGTTCTACTGAGGCTTGGAGTAGAGAAAGAGCCAGGCCTGACCTCTCATCTCCCTCCCTCCTTCAGTGTCCTCTGCAGGGGCCTCTCTAGCTAAGAGATCCCAGGCTCCATTCTCACTCTGTTCAACTACCCCCTTTATAATGAGAACCATGAGTTCCAAGACAGGGAGTGAAGGTGTCCAGCCCCCGTTCCACTGATGTCCTGGTGTCCTCCAGGTGCTTATGTCAGCACCCTACAAAGGAGAGGGCCGTGGGATAGCCATGCTCAACCTTCTGAGGACCCTGAATGAGAGCATTGCACCCTCCATGGCTGACATGTGGGAGCTGGAGATACCACTGCTGGTTCAGTACCTGGAAGGTAAGGACCCCATTCTGTGTACCTCCTGGGGTACTAATCTCCTGGCTTGAACAGGAGCCCTGGTCCTGGGTAGAGCCACATCAGGTACTTTGATCCTGAGAATTGGACAAGGAGCTTGGGAATGCGGAGAGGGAAATGGCATGTGTGATGGGTTCATCCATGGAGGGCCTCAGATGCCAGGGCAAAGAGGCTGACCCAGAGCGGGCAGCAGGAGAGAGCAATACCCTGTGAGACCATGTGTTTGTTACTGCAGAACACACCGAGTTTACCTGGAATCAGAAGGCCTGGGAGGACAAGCTAATTCAGGTAAAGGGGTGGCCAGGTGTCTGAGGCCTGGATGGAGGAGAAGGAGAGGGAGCAAATGGGAGAACTTTTGGTGGGGTTGGCATGTGGAGAGTTTAGGATCCCCTAGAATACATATTTTCCTTCTATCAGAGAAGACTTGGCAAGTATGAATTCTATTGCTGTATCTGTCTGTGCCAGTAGGGGAGAACTGAGAGAGCCAAGTGCCTGGAAAAGCAACAGAGGTGGCACCTTTCCCACCAGCCCAGAGCTACAGTCATTCCCCAGACACTTAGAACATCAATGCCGGAGTGGGCTCTGTAGACTGACTGATCTAGATTTGGAGGAGAAGACCCAGAAAGGGCAACTCCCTCTTCACAGTAGCACAGCATTTCCATAGTCTAGTTGAGAACAGGGCTGGGGTCCCTTGGCCCTGCTACCTGTGTCTTCTTCCTCCCCAGTTTCTGAGAAACTCTCTCAAGAAGACCCGGGGGACCAACTGGAGCCTGCGCCTGAGCAAAGAACTGAGCAACCAGATCAAGAGCTTCCACAGCCCTTCTTTGGAAAAGGTTCATCACCATAGGGACAGGGCAGATCAGACAGAGTGGGCACTACAGGGAGGGGAGAGGGTCATGATGTGTGTCAGACCAGCTGGACCTGTGGTTGTTTACAGGGTCCTGAGAGGAGAGGTGAGTGGTCCAGTCCAGGGATTTTCAGGTTTTTTTATTTATTTGTTTTATTTATCCTTCAGCTTTTTGTTCACAATCACATGCATATTTCTTTGTAAGAAGTTGTGGGGTTTTTTAATTACAAAACTATAAAAATTGTTGAAAGAAATCAGAAAAGGCCTCAATAAGTGGAAAGCATCCCATGTTCATAGATTGGAGGACAATATAGTTAAGGTGGTGCTACTTCCCCAATTTCTCTACAGATTCAAAATCACTTCCATGATAGTCCCAATTGCTTCCCCCCCTCATAGATTGACAAACTGATCCCAAAATTCATATGGGGATGCAAGAGGTCCAGAACAGCCAACACAATTATAAGAAAAAGAACAAAGCTAGAGGACTCAAACATCCTAAGTTGAGGAATTCTTACACAGCTGTAGAAAACACACAGTGTAGTACTGAAGCAAGGGTAAATGTCTAGATTGAAAGAACACAATTGAGGTCAAGAAATAAGCTCACATTTATGGTAAACTGATTTTCAATTGCCAACACAATTCAATGGGGAAAGGATAATCTTTTCAACAAATGGTATGAGGACAACTGGATACCCACATACAAAAAAAGAAATTAGATCCCTTCTTCATGCTATACACACCTTAGTCAAAACAGATAATGGACCTGAACATAAAAGAGCTAAAAGTATAAAATTCCTAGAAGAAAACATAGGCATATGATTCCATGGCCTCAGGTTAGGTGAAGCCTTCTTAGAAGTAACGTCAAAAAGCACACGTGATAAAAGAAAAAAAGATGAATATCATAAAAATTAAAATATCTATGCTGAAAACAGTATCATCAAAAAAGTGAAAAGGCAACCCTTAGAATGGAAGAAAATATTTAGAAATCATGTATTTGACACACATACATATTGCAACTCACCTGTAAAGATAAATGAGCCAATTACAAATAGCAAAGCATCTAAATATACTTCTAAGATGATCCACAAATATCCATTAAGTATATGAAAAAATGTTCAAGATCATTATCACCAGGGAAATGCAAATGAAAACCATAATGAAATGCACACATCCACTAGATGGCTATAATAAAAAAGACAAGTGATAACAAGTATTGGTGACAACATGGAGAAATGGAGCTTTTTATATACTGCTGGTGGGAATATAAAATGGTACAGCTGGAAAGTACTTTGACATTTCCTCAAAATGTTAAATATGTAGTTACTACATAACCTAGCAAGTCTACTCGTACTTATAAATGGCCAGGAGAAATGAAAACCTATGTCCACACAAAAATTATACATAAATGTTCATAGCAGCATTATTTACAATAACCAAAAGTAAAAGAAACAAAATGGCCATTAATGGATGTATGGATTAATAAATAGGGTATATCATGCAATGCATAAAATGAATGAAGTACTGATACATGGAGCATCTTAGACAAACCATGAAAGCATTATATACTCAGTGAAAGAAGCCATATGCAAGGGAACACAAAGAACCGTGGGATTCCATTTATAGAAACTGTCCAGAACAGATCAATCTGCAGGGACAGTAAACTGGTTGTCGGGGGCTGGAAGGAATGTGGAATGACTGCAAATGGGTGTGGAGTTTCTTTGGGGAGGATGAGGAAATGTTCTAATCTTACACTGTGATGGTTGCACAACTCTGAACATGACATTAAATTTGTAGACTTTAATTGAGTGAGTTTTATGACATATGGACTTTATCTCAATAAAGATTTTTACAAATCTCAATAAAGGTTTTTTTAAAAGGTTTGTACAGGTCTCAACAAAAATTGCATCTGTCAAATACATACCTTTCATGGGTGAGTATATAAAATAATCAAAGCAAAGTATATCTTACCGATTGATGCCTTTTGGTGAACACTATAGATTTGTAGGTACAGACTTATCAGATGTTAATTTAAGGTGCTTTTAAAAGAAAGTTGTAAATAGCATCTAATAGCAATGCATGCAATTCAACCATATTACAATAATTCGCATAGCTTGAGATAAATACATAAGAATTTTAGCAGCTCATGTTACGTAAAAAGGCCCAATTAGATACAGAAGCCTAGGAATCCCATCCAGATGCACCCATCTCTTCCTTCATCTGTCATGCTGGCATCCTCCAGGTGGGTCAGATGGCTGACAGGAGCCCCCAGACTTCCTGTCTTTTCCCAAAATTGATATGCAAAAGTCATTATCTTTCCTGTATGCAAATGAAAGACCAAAATGTAATGGAAAACTATCCCATTCAAAGTGTCAACATGATGGAACATGCATTGTCAGATAAAATATGGAATATATGAAATGTGTGGAACCATCATAGCAGGGGCAGGAAACAGAAAACCTGAGGGCTGGGAGTGTAGCTCAGTGGTAGACACCTGCCTAGCATGTGCAAGGGCCTAGGTTCCATCCCCAGCACTGCAAAACAAACAATAAACCTACTCCTGAAAAAATAGACAGAACAACAGTCTCTTGTTCTTGGAGAGAAAGTCCACTTCCCTTAAGTTGATCTATAATACAATTTTCTCCCAGTCAAATCCTTCAAGAACTGTTTGTGGAAATGTGAGTTTCATGGGGATTGATGTTATTTCAAAGTTCATCTGAATGAGAAAATGAAAGAAAATAGCTAAGAATATATTAAAAAAGAAACACATTAAGGAAGGATTTGTCTTTCCAGACTGGAGCAAAGATTTTGGTGTGCAAAAAACCCCCATGAAACAAAAGAATATATCAATGAGTATTTTTATAATCTCTATATGGAATTGACCTACATGTGAATGCAAGGAAATCAAAGAAGACAAAGAAAAAGGGATAAACTTTACCAAGATTAAAATGTTAGTGTAATGAAACCAAATCACTATGAATGAAGTCAAAAAGGAGATGAGACTTTAGGTTCTATACCACTGAGGGTGACCTAGCTGAGGCTTTCGATAAGCAATTGTTGAGAACATGAGCCTCAGAATATGACTGCTTGAAACAAGAAAGAAGGAAAGAAAGGGAAGGAAGGAGGGGAGGAAGGAAGGAAGAGAGGAAAGAAAGAAAAAAAGGAAAGAAGAAAAGAAAGAAAGAAAGAAAATAATATGATTGCTTGATTTTAAATCCTGGTTCCACTTCCTGCTTCAGTTCTAGATTTGAGTGTGGGAGTGTACATTGGTTCAACCTATATTGGCCTCCATCGCTAAAATCTCTTACATGCGCCCATATAAAGTTTGGCTCTCCAGAATAACCAAAATATTTATTTTATTTATTTCTTTTAACATTTCTTTATTGTTGTGCTGGCTGCAGGTACATTGTGGCATTTACAAAAGTTCTTACAATATATCAAGTATGTCATACTTGAATTTACCCCTCCACCATTTTCTTGCATCCCTTCATGCCCCCTATTTCCTGGAATAGTTTCAGCAGATACCATTTTTCCATTTACAAACCGTGTTCACAGCATTTGTGCCATGTTCACCCTCCTTCACCAATTCCCACCTCCACTCCCCTCCCCCTGGCACCAACTCCTCCAGGCAGGACCTGTTCTCCTGTTTTGTATAAGAAAAGAAAAGGGAAAAAAAGAGAGTTTTGGTTGTTAAGATAGCTACGCAGAATTTCCTTGTGGCACTTCCATGTCTATATGTATTATAGCTCAATTTAGTTCATCTAAGGAATATAGGAAATGCATACTTAGCTATACATGAAAACAAAACAAACCAGGAAGCATATACAGCACCCTCCAACAGTGCCACCTGGAGGGCAAGATGGGAAGGTCTGAGCATCTTTTTCTCTCTTGCCTCTCTAGGGCTTTCTGTACCGGGCTTTGGGCTTCACCTTGGCCATGAGCCTGGAGGCTAACAGGGTAGAGGTACAACTGATGGAGCTGCTGTACAAGACGGACTACAGCGATGACTTTGACCGGGAGGTGAGAGTGCTTGCAGCTACCTCTTGTCTACTAGATCCTCTGGATCCTGGGGGGGGACATGTATATTCATGTACCTTCAGACATATGTGTACAAGATGTGTACATGTGGGCTTGTGCAACTGTGTGTGTATGCACAGATATGTGCAGGCTCCTCCCCTGATCCTGGCTGCTGGGACTCCCTACAGGGTGTGACTCTGTGCTTTGGCCTGTGTGCCCGGGGCCAGGTGAAGACAGTGCTGAATGTGCTCCATGACTTCGAGGAGAGGATCCAGGAGTCAGAGCAGTCCTGGCAGATCAGTGCCTGGCGGGTAAAGACCCCTTGCTCCACAGCTGGGTTTCAGACTACTGAGCACAGTGCTTCACAACAGAAGCAAAGTTCTTGCTAAGTCTGAACAGGAAATTCCCTCTCTGTGTCTCTTGCCACCATAATGCCTGAGATTAGAGGCCTCCTCCACAGAGCTTTTGCTGTTAGATCATCTGAAGAACACAGGGTGGACCTTTCCAGAACCCAGATATTGTTATAGTCCCAGCCTCTGGACTCTTGGCGTGGATTCCTCAGACCAGCAGTAGAAGCTCTCTGGGTGGAGAGTCCAGGCCCATGGGAGTTGAAGACCCTGGGTGGGTGCTGTCCCTGTGTCATGCTCTGCCACATGAGTCACTGGTGCTAGAATGGAGCAGCACCATTAATTGGAGAGCAGGGAAACTTGTCCAGGCACAGAGCTTCGTCAGCAGGGAAGCCAGGATTTGGATTCAGACAGCCCAGAGTTCTGTTCTCTGGGGAATACCTTCCTTGTCCCAGGCAATGGCCCCTAGGCTGGATGAGCCCCCACTGGGAAACCATTTAGAGTCATCAATGCCTCTGGCTTTTACCTTGACCTCAGACCCTTGCCCTGGGGTTTGGTTGTTTGGATGGTGAGAATTGAGACTGACCCAGTTTTCTGCCCCTGCTTCTCTATATAGCATAATCTGAGACCTAGATTTCTACTCAAGGCCTAGCAGTGAATGGGTGTCCCTGCTCCCTGTCCAAGAGGTGTTGGTGGCCTCCAACTCAGATTGTTCAGAGGGTGTGAGTGCCTAGGACGCAGGACCAAGGCTGTAGGTTCCCGATAGATTCCCAGGCTCAGTGAGCACTTGGCCTTGAGCAGGTGCCTGACAGGTGAAGGTATGAAGGAGTGAGCAGGTAACCTCTGATTAGGGATGTACACACAAAGCTCCTGCCGTGACTGAGGGGTGATCTTGGCATCTGTCACTGGACTGAAGCCTCCCGGGGGAGTGGGTCCTGCTCTGTCTTTTTCACTACTTCCTGCCCCATGCCTGGTGCCGGTATTCAATAAGGATGTGAAAAGTGAATGAATGAGTACTTCTGCACCCAGAGAGCAGCCAATTGATGTCTTTCTGTTGACTCTGTAGCACCTTTGGTTTTGTGGCCAGAGACTGTCCTACACATGGCAGGGCAGAACCCGCCCCCTCCCAGGGGCAAGAGAAGCAGCCCTGCTCATTGCCTTACAGAATGACCACCCCTGGAGGCGGGAGACCGTGAAGAGCGCCCTCATGGTGATGTATAGCAGCGTGTCCTCTTACTGCCACCCCCAGATGCTCCTCACCTATGCGGACAGCCCCATCACCACCAAGATCATTCACCACTACTCCAGCAGCTGCCAGGTAACCCACATACGGTGCAGGCAGGAGATGTCGTCCTTGAGCCAGGAAGCATCACACACTGGATGCCCCACCCAGGACACATCCAGGAGCCTTGCCCAGACAGCATTTGGGGAGCCCATGGCCCACACCTGAGCTGCTCTCTGCTTTGGGATCTTATAGGAAGGAGGAGGAAACCCTTTCCTGAGTGCTGAGTCCTCGAAGTCACAGGATGAGCCTCACTTTACAACTCCTTAGTCCTTACTTCTCTGGCTTAGACTCTTTCACAAAAGACACAATTAGAGTTGTCTTCAAAAAGATGCAAAGGGATCTGGTATCTCCTAGGAATGCCAAGGAGCACAGAACACAGAAAGTAAAGCAAAAATTATTTTATTATTATTTTTGAAAATGGTGGTAAAATACACATAACAGAAAGATCACCACCATCACCATTTTTAAACACAGAAGTTCAGAGATAGCAGTGTGTTCACGTGGTTATGTAGCCATCACCATCACCCATCTCTAAAATTCTTCATATTGTAAAACCTGCAGCTCTGTTCCCATTGAACACCAACTCCTCACTTCCCCTCCCCTAGTCATCACTCCACTTTCTTCTCTGTGAACTCGACTACTCCAAGTTCCTCACAAAGTGGAGTCATACAGTAACAATCCAATTATTTCATTTCAATACCTTCTTCTGCCTCTTTGATGACGTGTAGGGCTCAGTGTCCCTTTTCACTGATGTGGCCACCGAGCTGTGTTGCTGTCTTCAGTCATGGATGTGGACACTTTGGGGTGGCGACATCCTCTGGGGGACTGGGGTACACGTCCAGTATCACCATCACACAGATGCTGAGTCAACATCATTGAGAGTCAGAACAAGCCAGCTCTTGCCCAGAGCTCCCCTCGACATTGAACCTTCTTCATAGTGGAGGAAGGGTCAAGGAGTGAGGGCTGCAGCTTGGGGACTTTGGGGGACTCCTTCACAAACAGGTTCTCCTCCCCATCCTTCCTCTGGGTACAGGACATCAGTCTCAAAGTGGCCTTCATGAAGAGTGTGGTGCAGGTCACCAATGCCATTAGAAACATCAAAGATGTGGAGTTTCAGTTTTCCCACAAGTCCACTCTTACTGGCCTCATAATGGTAAGCTGGGTGGGCCTCCTCAGTCCTGAGAGGTTTGGGTGGGTTCTAAGTCTCTCTGAGTGATTTCTCCCTGGGTGAGCTCATCTGAGCTCCTAGGGGCAGGTGTGGGACAAAGGTCTGTGGAGCCCTCCCTCAGTCTTGCCTTGCTCTGGAACTGGTTTTGTATCCGAGGAAGGGTTTCACAGCCAGGAAAGAGTGGGACTTGGGTATATTGTTGCTCAGAGGAGGCTGACACAGAGCTGATAGACCGAGGCCTACTAGATGGCCAGCTGTGGCCTTGGTGCTTCCCTATGGGTGGTACATAGGAGACAGTGACATTCTAGAAGCAGAGTTTAGAGCAACATTTGCACGGATCTTCAGTAAGATGTAGGAAGTTCAGTTGTCCAAAGGCTGATGGAACCCGTGGGACTGCTGATGTCCCTCACCTCCAAATCACCTGACTCCTGGCATTACTGCCAGTGCCTGGGGCCCCTGAAGCTGTGCTGGAAGCAGTCATTGAGGGGGGTGAGATGTGGGTGGAACAGGAAGAGCCTGTGAAGTGTGAACATTCATGGACTCCCACTCTGGGCCTGGAGCTATACACTGGTCATTTCACACCAGCCTGGCACAACCCTGTGAAACAGGCATTGAGTCTCGTATGGACAAGGGTACTTAGGCTCAGGCAGGGGACTGTGTGGCCAAGGACATGCAGCAAGGCAGTGGTGGCCCCAAACAAGAATCCCAGGTCCACTGTGGCCCACTACTTCTACTCTGCTTCTGAAGCCAGATGAAAAGAAGGAAAAACGGAGTGGGATGTTACAGCATTTCTTTAAAGATCCAGGTCTTCCTCATCTGAACACCAGGAAGCGTGGTTGCCATGGTGGTCACTGTCAGCCAAAGGCCACCACACCACACCTCTTTGGACCTCTGGGAGGCTAGCAGCTCACCACTTTATTTGCGCTGGGCAGGCAATTATCAAGGCAGAACCAGCTGACTACCTGGTTTCTCCCGTGAGGACAATGGCGATGGATGCCCTCTCACACTTGAGGTGAGTTGGGTACCTGATGCAGATAGGGGCAAAGTCCAAAACCACCCCTCAGTGCTCCTCCAGGGCACCTCTCCTCCACTTCCCTCTTCCCTCCCTGCCCCTGTGACAGATATCTCGAATAGCAACTCCCTAGGGCAATGGCCAGCCACAAGATGTGATCTGCTCCTTTTCAGAATTCTCAACAGTATTTCAAGATGGGCATGTCTCCTTGGATAGGGAGGTGAACAGCAGGTGGCAAACTGTTCTTTGGTAGATGAGAGGATGTTTTAAGCAAGAAATCATTACAGTGATGCCGACAAAGCATAGTAAGAAGACGGCATCCTTCAAGTTGGGTTGGGCTCAGTCAACAAATCGAACGTTACTTATTGATAGGTTTCATACACATGATGACTCTTGGAGTTGTCAATCAATTGGAGGGGGAGGGAGGAAAAAGTCTTGGACTTTTGGAATTAGTGCTTGAGTCATCTTTAGCACACCTCACCATAGGGGAGGAATCGATTTATAGGCTCTTAGCAGAGCTACAGTACATGGGTAGATTATAAATACGTTCCATGCACCTCAACTGAGCATACTGTTATATGCTGGGTAAGACCTGGTCTCAGCCTTTCAGGAACTTAGTGAAAGGAAAAACCCATAAAAACAGAATTATAGGAGTTGGGCATTATGACTCACGCCTGTAAGTCCTATCTACTTAAGAGGTGGAGATTGGGAGGATCGAAGATCGAGGCCAACCCTGGCAAAGGGTTCAAGAAACCACACCTCAACCAATAAAAGTTAGGCATGATGGCACGCGCCTGTCATCTTGGCTAGGTGGGATTGCAGTCCAGGCTGGCCTGGGCATAAACAGCAAGTTCCTGTTCAAAAAATACCTAAAGCAAAAGGGCTAGAGTTGTGGCTCAAGAGGTAGAGCATTAACCTAACAAGCAGAAGTCTCTGAGTTCAAAACCCCAGTACCACCTTAAAAAAAAATTATAGGTTAGAACTGAGAAAAATGTGTTTGTAGGTGAAACTCCTCCCCCAAAAATGGCTACTAAGAAAATAAAATTCAGACTTTGTATAACAGGGGCTAAGCAAAGGGGTTGATGAAGGAGATAGCATTTGGCTTTTGAACCGGGTTTACCTAGAAGGACTAGGTTAGTTTAGGAGTTGGGTCATCCTGGCATAGTGAACTGCATGAGGCTTACGGGCAGCAGGAGTCAAGTTCAGGTAGGATGGTGTCTCTCCAATCTGTAACACAATGGAACCATTGGGGAACTTTTAACAGTTCCCAGCCACAGACCAATATCTAAGGATCCCTGGAGCCTGGACATGGCCCTTGGGGGGTCCTTTAAAAGGTTTTGCAAGTGATTCTAATTGTAACCAGGCTTGAGAACTTTATGGGTAGGAAGAAAATAAGCTGGCATGCACCAGTCAACTATGTACTACCTTGGAGGATTTGTTGAACAGATGGCTGGGCCTCTCCCCTGGAGGCTTTGATTCAGTAGGTCTGGAATGGGGCCATCGAACTTTCAATGCTAATAAACTCCAAGGTGGTGCAGGTACTCCTCCAGGTATTGTACTCTGACCACTTCCGTAGACCAGGGCCAGCCTTGGAGGGCAGATGCCATGGCTGTGATAAGGAGGAATGAGATTCCTGGGCTCAGAGCAGGCAATAGGAAGTGGGAGATGTGACCTTGGACCCCTGAATTTTGCCTCAGTCACAGACACAGCACTGGATGCTGGTGACCAGGCACTGCAGAGCCCCTGGATAGGGATGCGTGTCTGAACCCCCAGTCAAGAAATCCCTCATTCTGTGACATGCCTCCATGCCCAGACTGGGCAGCAAGCAGCAGAGGTTCAGCTCCCCAGTGACACACCTCTTGTCGCTGCCTCTTTCTCCAGCACACTGAAGCCTTTCTACTCCACAGAGGAAAACAAGGAAATGATGGATATTGGTATACATTCTATAATTCCTCTCTACCCCCCAGGAGAAGAAAATGAGTCCATAAAGGTAGGTTCCTCCAGGCCTGCTCATTTTCTGGGTAAGAACCTGGAAGTTTACATTGACATGAGCAGATTTCATCTTCCTGAACCACCCGTGAGTGCTTAGAGGCAGCATAGTACAGCATGGTCCATCAGTAAGTGCAAGGTAATGCTAGATTTGGAATGAAATCGCAATAAAATCACTCTGATTTCAACAGCTAAAAATTTATTTCTCATCCAAATTTTCCATCTGTCATTGGTGGAGGTTGTGGAGCTGTTTCACTCAGTTATCAGGAACCTAGGCTGACAGGACTCCCTCATCTTTAACACAGAGTTCTAAAGGTTTCTGTGAGTATACACATCCAGCTTAGACGGGGGTGGGGGGAAGAGAAAGAGTAGGGAAGATTCATGATTCATGATTGCCCTCTTTCCGTGAGTCAGAATGAAATCACGTGTCTCCACCCATATGCAGAGGTACTAGGACCAGATGGCTGTTTCCTAGTAACAATGGAAGAGGAGAACAAAATCCTCCCCAGACAGATGGCCACCTCTGTTTCAAGGGCCTGTCCCAGGATAAGGAGTTAGGAGAACTGGGCTCTAGTTGTCCTGTAAAATAGGTTTCTCTTTAAAGGTTGTCTTGTACTTCACATGAAAAGACAAGTGCAAAGAGCACAGTCTGAGCAGCAGTTAATGGGTGACAGTCAGACCATCTCACCTCTAGTCCTGGTGTGGACTCCCACAGAGTCCTGGTGGGTGGCTGTGTGTGCCCTGCTCTCTCTTTTGGTCATAGACCCTGTATGCAAATGCTTTGAACTCTCTGGAGCAGCTGATGGAGAGCCTCCTGCAGAGACAGCTGGACCCCAAGAGCCTGCAGGAGGTGGTGCATGTAAGTTACCTGGCACAGGATGTAGGGTCATAGGTGACCACACTTTCCAGGGAGGGGGCCTGAGGGTCAGACTATGAGGAACAGTGTAATACCTTAAAAATCAGAGTGATTTTATTGTGATTTCATTCCAAATTTGCTGAAAAATTGGAAGAAGAGAACAAAGATTCTCTTCACCTATATCCGTATTTTACCACATATTCTTTGTCTGTCTTCCTTTTTGTTTCTCCTCATTCCACACACACTTTTTTTAAAGCATGGTAAGTTATTCGCAGACATCAAGAACAAGAATATTCTCTTACATTACAAAGGCCAATAATCAAAATCAGGAAAATTTGATGTTGATATAATGCTATGTCAAAATCTGAGATCCATATTCAAATTTCACTAATTGTCCCAATATTGTCCTTGATAGCTGTTCCCAGAATCTACTTGAGATGACACATTGAATTGAGTTGTCTCTGTTCTCCTTTAATTGGGAACAGCTCCTCAGCCATTTTTTTTTGTCCTTCATGGTTGTACCATTTCTGGAGGGTACTGGCACTTTGGTTTCTAATTCGGTTGTTTGCTTTCTTATTATTGAGGTGGTTTTTTTTTTTTTTTTTTTTTAGTTTCATATTTTCTGGATATATCTGTGGCTTGTCTTTTCATTAATTTCCCAGTACCTTTTGGTGAAGAGAAGTTGTTTTTCTTTTATAGATCATTCTTTTGGTGTCAAATCTAGAAAATCTTTCCCTAGGACACAATGTTGTATTCCAGAAGTTTTACATTTGAGGTTTCATAATTAAATCTATGATATATTTTGAGCTGATTATTGTATGGTAAAAAGTTTATTTTTATCTTTTTGCACATGGGTAACTGGTTGGACTATCATTTCTCCATTAAATTACTTTTGCACCTTTGTAGAAAACCAAGTGACCTTGTCTGTGTGGATCTATTTCTATGCGCTCATTCTGCTTCATTGGTGTGCTTTGTCTTTCTTTACACCAATACCTCACTGTCTTGATCACTATAGTGTTATAAGTCTTGAAATTGGTATTAGTAATGTAAGTCCATAGACCTTTTTCTGCATCCTACAAATTTTGGTATGTTATATTCTAATTTTATTTTAGATAAAAATACATTTTAATTTCCCTTTTGATTTCTTCTTTGACCCATATTTAAAAATTTCTAAAAATCTGGGGATTTTTCCACATTTCTTTCTGTTTGGGATTCCTAATTTAATTCTGTTGGTATCTGAGCACATACTTAGCATGTTTTAATTCCTTTCAATTGGACTGAGATTTAGTTTGTTACCCAGGTTTGGTCTGCTTTGGTAAATATTCCATGTGCACTCAAGAAATATTCTGCAGTTGTTTGGTGGAGTGTTTCTAAATGTCAGTTAGACTAAGCTGATTGGTAGTACTATTTAAGTTTTTTATAGCCTTTCTGACCCTTTGTCTTCTTGTTCTATTAGTTATTGAGAAAGAGATGCTGAAAATTCTATGGATTTATTTATTTCTCCTTTCAGCTCTATAGTTTTTTTACTTTGTGTACTCTTTACTTATGGTATTAGGTACATAAACACTTAGGATTGTTGTGTCCTCTTGAACTGATCCTTGATTGTGATGACAGGACTCTTCATCCATAATAATTGTGTTAACCAGCTTTCTGTTGCTGTGAGAAAATACCTGAGAAAATCAACTTAAAAACAGGAATGACTTATTTTGGCTCATGGTTTCAGAGCTGTCCATCCATGGTTGGTTGGCTCCATTGCTTTGTGCCTGTGGCAAGGCTGAACATCATGGTGGGAATGCCTGGTAGAGGATATCTGTTTACCTTATGTCTGCTGGAAATGAGACAGAGGGAGGGAGAGAGACAGAGAGAGGAGAGAGCAAGAGGTCTGGGTTCCAATATCTCCTTAAAGGTCATGCTGTCAGTGACTAATTTCCTCCTAAAGGTTCCACCACCTCCATGTAGGCTGGAATTCAAGCCTTTAACACGTGGCCTTTGGGGCATATTTAATATCTGAGCCATAACAGTACCATTCTTTATTCTGAAATGAACTTGACATTAGAGTAGCCCCCAGGGCCATCAGAGTTCAGAATGGGCTGTGTTTCTGGTACATATTTGGAGCCTGACCAAATGCAGCAGCCAAGCGCCAACCTGGTAAGGATGCTGGGCACACCTCTCTCTTTGCTCACAGCCTCATCTCCCTTTGTGGTAGGGAGAGAGAAGCTGGGAAGAAGGTCAGAAGTGTCTAGAACCTTGTAGAATCATTGAAAGTCAACATCTGAAGGAGAGGGACAAGGAAGCAAAAGCTGGCTAGGGAAAGGCTGGCCCAGGATTTTAATGCCTGCATCTATGTTCTGGGTTCTACACATAGCTCCTGGAGAAGTGGATCTTGTCGGAGAAAGAATGGGAACGGGAGAAGGCCATGAACATCTATCTTCATCTCATGCAGAACTATGTTCAAAGTATTGGTGTCTGCGTGAGTCCAGGGACACCCAGCTCCCAGCCGGTCCAGCCAGCATCCTCAGGAAAATTCTTCTCTCTGTCCAGGAGAGGAGAAAATACTTCTCAGATCAAGCTCTGTTCTTGAAGAGTCCTTTGAGAAGAGGCTGTAATAAGCTAGCCAGGGCTCCCGGGTGGGTGAGGGAGGAGAGGATGGACTGGTGGCTCGGTGTGGATCCAGGTTTTATGGGGCCTGAGGGTTATGCAATGTGGGAGTTCTTTTTAAAAAAAAAATCAGGATACATACTTATGAATAGTACATAAGGAAGAGAATACTTATTTAGAATGAGAAAATGAATCACTACATAGTCACTAATTTTACAAAGCTCAACAAGTACCACAGAAATCAGGAAATCTAGAACAAATGATGTTTTTATTGACCAGCTGATGCAGCACAAGGCCTCTTTTCCTACATTTGTTGACTTCATGCTCAGATTTCTTTCTCTTCAGGGATGGTTGTGGGCAGGAAGATAATAGTATCCTAGGGCTGAGATGGAGGGATGGCCTCGGGTATCAGGGGTGGTGCATGGTGAGACCCTGTAGCACCTGAATGGAGGTAGGGAGGATGGATTGGCCAAATGAGGCAGGAGCCAAGACCAAGGTTAAGGGACGTTTTGAGGCAAGACACTGTAGAAGGCCTCAATTCTCTGACTCTCACAACATGTCCTGAAAGAGGAGGTACCATTACTAATTCCAATCTGCAGATAGGGAACATGAGGGACTGAGAGGTGATGTTCCCTACCCAGATCACTCAGCTAGAGTGCAGTTTCCATTCCTGGACCAAGGGTTCCGTGACAGGAATAGGCAGGTGTCTGGACATAGAAACTGAGCCTAGTTCAGAGAAGTGCAGAGTACTACTGGCTTAGGACAAGTCTTGAACCAGGACCCCTGTGACCCCAGCTGATCAGCCTCCAGGGGCTCAATGCGGGATGGGGGAGGCTGGTTCCTGGGTGGGAGGAAAAACAGTGTTTTCAGAGCAGGGTCCTCCATCTCTCATGATCCTTTATGCTGACCTTAGACAGGCCTAGGGGTTCATGTGAGGACAGAGGTACGAGCCTCAGGGTCTCCCATCCCTCAGATCCCCCTGCAGCTGGGGCAGTTTGGTACACTGGTCGGACTCATTGCCCCGCTCACCTGTGATGCCCACAAGAGAACCCGCATAGCCTCCAGCAATGTCCTGTCCATTCTGCTAGATCTTCATGGTATGGGTCAGGCAGGACATTAGGGGGAAGGGGGCTGGTGTAAGGGTAGTGGTGTGGGCCTGCCCTGGAGGGAAGTGTGAGCTGTCTGTGCAGGCAGGTGAAGGGGACAAACAAGTGGCCAGAAGAGAGTGCAGAGGGAGAGAGATCACCAAAGGCCATGGCAGCTTCCATATGGAGAGGCTCATTGGCTGAGGCTGACTCATGGAGGGCATATGCTGGATAAGGTCAGCTTGCAGACATCAAGGACTTGGCAGAACTGGCCAGAGTTGTCCTCTGAGTTGAGTGTAGAGGTAGTGCAGGCAGAAGCCACATGGAAGGAATACTGAGAGCAGAGGCAAGGAAAGATGGGATGCAGAGATGCTGGAGGGTGGTTCAGGTCTATGGAACCAGGCCATGTCCGGCCCTCTGTCCCTGTCAGTCACATCTGAAATTGTATTCCCAACAGTAAGTCAGACCTGCTCCTTATGGGGTGCTTCCAAGGACAGGGAGCTGGAGAGATGTAAGGAGGACCTCTGGGGCACAGACATGGAGAAGATTTTCTGTGCTTCCTCCAGAATTGCCAAGGTGATGATGGGCTGGTCTCCATCTCTTGGGGACACAACCCTCCTTGTTCTCCTCTGGGGGGTCTCAGCCTTTGGTGGTATGCCTGGGGCATCTGTACTGAAATGGCCTGTAGCAGTAGGAGCTTAATATTCCCTAGTTGCCTAGAGACCTGGCATCCTAATCCCTAAAATACACTACAGTGAGCATGGGGGGGCATGGAAGTGAGCTAATGGTATACTAATGAACAGAAGTGTCCAGAATTGAAACTTCACTGAGGTGGTGAGGTTTCTTCTGCTTCAGGAGCCGAAGGCAGCCTCCCAGCAACCTTCCTCTGCAAGGAGTCTTGCAAAGTGCAGGATGAGGTCAGAAGGTGTCAGAGTTCAGGACATGCAGTTTGCAGGGCAGTGGAGTGAGGATAGGGCATGTTTGCACTGGAACGTCCTGTGATGAGTCCTGGCAAGATGGAAGGCAGGCAATGAAGAGTGAGGGAGGTTTGGGGCACATCCCCGAGGCATTGGAAAGCTGACTAAGTTTGGACCAGCCAACCCTTTGAGACAGAGGAGTGATGCCTGAGTAGACCTGGGATTGGGACAGTGAGAGACTGGACAGGGAGCCCCAAGGAGGCCACTGCCCTGGTCTCAGGGAGAATGGGGTTGGATGGGGCTCTGAGGTGGGGCAGAAGAGGGGAAGCATGGGAGGACCCAGGATTTGGCTTTGCTCTGGCCCTAGGTACTCTGCATGGAGTTTAATTGTGATGAGGTGGTCTCGCTCATCCAGAAGCTCTGTGAGAACATTGGGGCCACTGACCTGCAGCACGACAAGGCTGCTGTTACCTGGATGAGCATCTTCCTCCAGATGCGGGTCAAGGAGCTGGAGGACAAGGTGGCAGAGTCTGGCAGGGGGTCCAGGAAGTGGGGCTAGGGCTAAGCAGTGCACCTAGACTGTGGGTCCTGCTGCACTCAAGATTGCCTCCTCCCAAGAGTTCTAGAATGAGAAAGCAATCTGTTGAATTGTAACCTGGTCAGTGAGAGGACAGGGACCAGAAGCCCATGGTGACCTTTCTCAGGGCAGCCACCTCTCACTCCAGATACCCGAATGAATGAGTCTGAGGAAGAGCTTGGAGGCTGTGCTGGTCAGGGTGCTAGTGGCTTGAGTTGCCCACTGTCCTCTCTGGAGGAAGGGTATCCCACAGGGGCCCAGAATGCCTCCAGTATCCCCCTACCCTCTTTCCAGGTGGCCGAAATCCTGGGTGCCATCCTGGTCCACCTGCCAGTGGTGGACCACCTAGAGGTGCGGCACCTCCTCATCGAGGGCATCCTCTTGCTGGCACATTATCACCAGGAGACTGTCCTCACGTCACTCCTGAGGCAGCCCCTGCCCATGGAGAGGTTGGTGCCCTGGAGGAGATGGACACGGCTGGGAAGCCTGGGTCCTGGAAGTACCTTGACCTACCTAGAGGCGGGTCAGAGCTCCTTTATCTTGTGTAGGAGGTACCTGGCCTCAGTGTACTACTGGTCCTGAGCCCAGGCTTTTATGCCTCCATCATAGTGACCTAGGCTTTGGATCCCACAATTCCTCACATGTCCTGGATGACCCCTCTGGAACAATGTCCATGAACTGCAGTACCTTTTCTCTACAGCAACCCTTTTCTTTCCTGTGAGGAACAGAGCCCTGGACACCTAAGTCACAGGGTGTAGCTCCTCAGGTCTGGATGATCCTCTAAGATACTCCAGCCTGTTCCTGTTCCTTTCAGAATGTGACCTGAGAGGGAAAGTGACTCTTCCAAGCCCCCAAGGGACAAAATGGCCCAATCTCCAGCCATGAATGAACCAGACCGGCCCCCTATTTCCTGTTGTATCTTTACACGTGGCGCCTAGTGTCTGTTGCAGGCAGGGTCTCTCCAAATGTGGGGAGTATATTTAGGAAGATACCAGGATTCATCTGGGGAAGGCCCAGAAGGAACCCACCTTCATCCCCCAGCACAGCCGAGCCTGTGCTGCGCAGTGACATGAGGCAGATGTGAATGGAGAGAAGAGAGTTCCACATACAGGCCTCAGATCCAGAGCCACGGGGGCTGGCATGTGGGAAACATGGCTGAGGCTCCACCATGGAGCTGTTTTTCATAGGAAGCCCTGTAGTGGGTCCAGGTGGGAGGGCGAGGCAGATATTGTGGTTTACCAAAGGTCAAGGCACCAGGAGTGCATTCCTACCTGCCCATGTCTGGGTCCTGCTGGTGTTCTTGATGGCCATGTCCCACTGGCTTCCATTTAGCTCAGCAAAATCTGTTCTGCTTACCCATTGCTATGTAACAAGCTGCACCAACTTAGATACTCAGAAGGATGTCCATGCGTTAGCTCACAGTTTCTATGGGTCAGAAGCCTGGCTTAGAGTCATGCGAGACCGCAACCAAGTGGTCAGCCAGCTGTATCCCGTTCATGAGGGAACTCTGCCAGGCTCGTGGTTGTTGCTAGAATTCAGTTTCTTGCCATTGTCTTTCTTGTTCCCCTATGGTTTCTTTATACTTGGTGCTAAGGTGCACCTCGTAACTCTTTCTCCCTGATTACTTCCCTTAGGTCCTTGGCTACATCTTCCCCCACCCCAAACTCACCATTCCTGCACTTGTGCATTTGGTTTTGTGGATTCAATTAGGCAGTGTACATGCTTCTTTTTAATTTAGTTACACTTGGTGCTTTAGCCTTTTAGAACCTACCAGATTCCTACCTCTCTGTACCGCTGTCCCTGGCTCACCAAGTCACTATCCTGGAGCATTTTCTTTCCTTTCCCATGGGCTTGGATGTGGGAATCAGGCTATTTCTAATTATAGTCAGGCAGATGACCAGATCTCTGCAAGCCTTAGTTTCCTCTTTTGTGGCATATGGAGAGAAAATGTTTTCCTCAAAGTTTGCCAGGAGGATTAACTGCCTGAGCTCCCTTGGGCACTTAGTGGCATAACCAGATGGATAAAATTACCAAACAGTAGGCTTGGTGGGGACCTTGAGGTCCCCTAACATGGAGCCAGTGCCTCCATGGGGGCCATGGCTTTCCCAGTGGCAATGAGCATAGAGGCAGGGACTTGGTCCTAAATCTGTAATCTTTGGCAACTCCTGCCACCTCTCAGAAATTCAGCTCCCAGAATTCAATCCCTACTTGGGGGTGGGAGCACTGTGGGGTGGCTTGAGGTGCTTTAACCTGCCAGCGCATGTGGCAGAAATTCCACAGTCCTTTGTTTATCTCTGGCTAGCCACCTGAGGGAGGTGTGGCTGGCCATGGCAGAGAATGCACCCTTTGCACGGACCATGCTCTGTGACCTGCTGGGCCGGTTGCAGTCGCGATTCACCTCCAGGATCAGTGCCACCTCTAAAGCTGACATCTGGCGCCTGGCTGCAGTGGACCCTCTAATGGTGAGTCACAGGCACAGGCTCTGGGCTTCTCTGGGGTCTCAGGGCAGGACCCTTAGTACCTCCCACTTCCTCTGTGTAGATCCTGTGTGCCATCTACCTGCTCATGGAGAAGATGGACAAGGACAGCAAATTCCCAGACCTGTTTCCTGACCTCATTTACACCTTCCTGCTGCAGCTCAGTTGCAGCCACAGGCCCGAGACTGTCTCTCCTGTCCTGAAGACCTGGAGACTGGTCCACACTGGGACCTTGCCTGAGGAGATGAACCTGCCGGGGTATGCGAGGGAAAGCGGGCAGACAAGAGGGGTCCACAGAGTGCAAAGCAGTAGGCTCAGGCTGGATCTGGCCTCCAGCTGTTCCTTAGAAGCTGCTGGACTCCACAAGTCACCTCTACCTAGGGGCCCTCATTGCCTCATCTTAGTGTAAGGGTTTCAGAGGCTGGTTTCACTCATAACTCCTCCCTCACGTGTGTCCAGCCTGATGTAGTTTTCAGAGTTTGCAGAACCACTGTCTCCTGGGATCGTTTTGCACCAGTGAGCTGCAGCCCCATCAAATCCACCCACTTGCTTTCAGGGTCACAGTCAAATCCATGCAGCTTCTGTTCAAGAGAATCAACAGTAAGAACCTGGTGCAGGCCCTTGAAGAGCAGTCTGTGTGGGCCCTGCTGGAGAACGGAGAGACCTTCCTGGAGGGTGTGAGCCTGCTGGCCAGGTGGGTCCAGGCTCTCCTGAGGGCGGAGGGCATGGGCAGAGGTGTGTCCCTACTGAACAGAAGCCCCTGTGAACAGCATGGCTGGGTGCCTTGTTCTGGGGACCCCACCACAGTGGCATGTGTCCTAGACTCTGGGCTGGCAGTGGAGTGCAGGACAGTGGGCACCTTTATTCCACCTTTCCTGCTCCAGAGCAGATGTGAGGTCAGAGAGGGGAAGGGCTACCCAGGGCCTCAGGGCCCTCTGAACAGGGCTAGAATGGGCGGGTACTTCCTGGTTCCTGATCACATGAACAACCCTCATTCCAGGCCCCTTTTACACAAAAGTGATGAAAAGTATTTTGCTGACAATCCCCAGGGAAGAGGGAGAGATCCAGAGATGCTAAGGCATCTGCCCTTGGGCACCCAATGGACCAGTGCCAGCGCTCCAGAGCAGCGGCCAGGAGCTGGGATAACTCCGCCGAGTCAGTGGCACCCCTTCTCTCCTTGGCAGGCTGTGCGTGTAGAACATGAAGGGCTACATGCAGAGGCTGTCGGAGCTGGTGCTCAGGGGAATGGGCTTGGAAGTGCTGAGCTGTCGCATCAGCAGCACGGCGATCTGTGTGGAAGTGAGGTTCCTGGCCCTGGGCAGGGTGTGAGCAGAGGGGCGGGTGTCCCCTGGGCTCTCCTGGGGATGACTCGTCTCCAGTGTCTAATGCACATCTAAGTCTAGGAGGTAGAAGGACCTTCCTCTTCATGTTTATCACATGAGTAATTCAGGGCTGAGCACTGTGGGGAAACAGGCTGGAACACAGCCTGAGCCTGGAGGTGATGCAAACTGCTGAGGTGTGCTGGTGCAGTGAGTGGAACAGCCAAGGGCTCAGAGGAGCCACCTGGGCTCTGGTTGGGAAGACATTGAACGAGGCCTCTGAAAAGTGGAGAACTTGCTGGCTAGGAATGGCATCGTGGGACCCAGAGACTGTCATGTGGCTGGGTTACAGCCTTAGCCATGGCCTCTGACATTTAAACTTCTCGTAGTTTCCACATGCCACAAAATGTCCTTTGTTAGCTTTTCCACTACTTAAAGCTATGAAAATGAAGCTGGGTACCAGTGGCTCACGCCTGTAATCCTAGCTACTCAGAAAGCAGAGATCAGGAGAATCAAGGTTCAAAGCCAGCCCAGGCAAATAGTTCACAAGACCCTATCTTGAAAAAACCCATCCCAAAAAAGGGCTGGTGGCATGGTTCAAGAGGTAGGCCCTGAATTCAAACCCCAGTATCAAAGAAAAATAAAAATAAAATAACTATGAAAGTGAATCTTGGCTTTGGAATATACAAAAGCCCCCATACTAGGGCAACAACAACCAGGGACACACTCACCACTTTTTGGTTTTTTTTGTTTGTTTGTTTCTTGGCAGTACTGGGGTTTGCTAGGCAGGTGCACTAGCATTTGAACCACACTCCCGCCTCCAGCCCTTTTTCACTTTGGTTGTTTTTGAGACAGTGTCTAATGTTTTTGCCCAGGCTGGCCTGGATCATGATCTTCCTACCTACAGCCTCCCTCTTAACTGGGATTACAGTGTGTACCATCACTGCTAATTTGTTTGTTGAGATGGAATCTCATGAAAGTTTTGCCTGGGCTGCCCTTGAACTGCCATCCTTCTGATCTCTGCCTCTCAGTTAGCTAGGATTACAGGTTTGAGTCACCATGTTTGGCCTGGCATTGTTGCCTTTAGGCCTCTTTAAAACACACTCAGGCATTGCACACATGCACATGCACATCCCACAGGGTCCCCACTGGCCAGAGGTCTTAGCACTGAGTAAGGGAGTAAAGATCCTCTCAAATGAGTGGATTCATGCTTCTTGTGCTCTTCAGTTCAGACACGGGTGAGTGAGGCTCTTGCCCACAGCAGCTGCTCCATTGTGTTAACTGAAGCAACAAGGGGCAAATGAGTATGTGCCCTCTGTGCAGGCAACAATGATCTAGCATTGCCCATGCATTTCCTCATTGAGTCCTCACAACAACCCTGAGGCAGGTACAAGTATGGTCCCTTTACAGACGAGGAGGTAGAACACCTTATCCTCTCCTCTCCTGTATACACCCCCCATCACCTTGTTGCCAAGAGATGGGCCTCCATCCGGTAACTGCAAAACTCTCCCTCCCCCAGTTCATGAGCAGCCCAGTTCTGCACCAAGAGAAGCTGCTGAAGTCAGCAGTGCTGATGCTGGAGAAGGGTGCAGAGCAGGAAGAGGAGGAGATGCTGCGGGTGCTCTCCCTGCGTGCCCTCGGCAACATGGCCCTCGGTGCCCCAAAGAAGGTGCCCCATTGGCCCTGGCCTGTTTCCTGAGGGCTGAGGGCCACATGGGCATGCTCCTGGGGTCTGCCAGTGAGCAAGGTGGAGGACTGAGCTGCCCTTGCCCCGCCAGGTGAAGCAGTATCGGAAGCTCTTGTTAGAGAAGTGTCTCGGCTCCATGAAGAGGTCCACAAGCATCAGTGTGACTGCTGAGGGCATGGATGCACTGACCAAGATCCTGGCTGAGCTCCGAGAAGGGGACGTGGGGTCTTCTTTAGAAGCCATCTCTGAGCAGTGCAGGGTCTGCTTTGACAATGTGAGTCTGGATGAGTGTCTTTGTGTGTCTTCTATTGCCATAACAAATTATGTAGCTTATGGTTCTGGAGGCCAGGAAGCCATGAACATGGCACCAGCATCTGGTGAGGGCCTTCTTGCTACATCATGTGGCAAGCATGCTAGCTTGGATCTTTCTCTTCTTATAAACCACTGCAGCCATTGTGGGGTCCCACCCCATGACCTTATCTAATCCTAATTACCCCTAAAAGTCCCGCATACAAATGCTATCAGTAGATGATTTGGGGGATTACATTTCCAACATATAAACTCTTGGGGGGACACATTCAAATCCCAGCACTCAGCTTGCTTAGTGCATGAGTGGGCACCTCTCACCCCCTAAGAGCAGAATGAGCTGAGGGTCCTGCTTGCTGCAGATGTGTGCCTTGGCCAGTCATGAGATTTTGTAGAAACAGTGTCTTGTTCCAAGTTCCAGAGAATCAGTGCTGTAGAATCTGAGGGCTCATGGACTCCATCTTGTTAGGAGGCAAGGGCTCCCCCTTACCTCCTCTCAGCTCATGCATATCCTTGGGTTACCTGTGGCATCTGGGTCTCAGTGGAGAGTAGGGTGCATTCAGCTTCAGCACAAGCCCTTACATAGGGAAGGCATAGGTCCAAATACCAGAGTCATGCCCATTCATGAGCCCTGTGGAAGGAGAGGCTCTGTCCTGAATGATCCAGAAGGCTCTGCAGAACTAAGGCATTGAAAATAGTCTGTGGAGAATGCCTGCATTTTTGTTGGCCTCCCTACTTCTGGACTGTCAGCCCTTGTGTGTATGTTTCGGCCACAGGAGAGTGAGCTGCTGCGGTTAAAGGCCTTCATCCTCTTTGGGAAACTTGCAAAGATGGTTGGAATTTCCAAGAGGCATTTATTCAAAGGGGAAGTGAAGAAAGCCTGGATTCCCCTCCTGCTGCACTGCCAGGACCCTTGCTCCAGCACAGCCCAAGTAAGATCCACCTTTGCCCTATGCCCCAAAGCCTGGAGCTGCTGTCCCCAAAAGGAGCAGGTCCTTTTAGGTGAGGGCTTTTCTCCCTCACTCAGTCTTCCATGGGAGCACTGTGGCCACCATCTTCCCTGTCCTATCCTTCATGAAATGTGGAGATAAGGATCATTCAAGGTGACTCCTGAAGCTGGCTTATGAAGGAGTTTCAGCTCTCTGGGGAAACATGGTGCGGCTTCCTTTGGTTCCAGTCATTGCCTACAGCTATCCTCTGTCTAGTCCCCCTTCCTTCTAGCCGATTCCATACCTCGCAGGTCACTCTTGGGGTATTAGGACTCAGTCCTGCTTAAGATTGGCCTTGAAACTCCCCCTCAGCTCCCTGTGGGTAGGCCTATGCTGAGGCTGCTGAGTTTCAGAGGAAGGCCTGGCCTGCTCTCTCTTCCTCCCCAAGGCTGAGAGGTGGGAGAAGAAGCCCGTGGCTTCTCTAGCTGCTGCTTCAGGGTAGCAATAGTAGGCTCGGGGGTGACCTTGTGGGAATGCTCACCCAAGGCACTGCACCCTTCATCTGACTGATGCTCCCAACCTGTTTTACATAGACTAGGGAGGGGTGGTTGGGAATTGGCTGTGATTGGGGTTTTCTGCCTGCTTCCCTAAGCCTTGGGGATGCAGCTGGCACTACACGAGGTCTCCCTAGTTTTGCAGAGAGTGCCATAGTTCACAGTTCTGGGGATCACAAGTGCCCACACCCCATTGTATGAAGTCTGAGGGTTTCTGGATCACTGCGGGGTAGGGGTGGTGCAGGTGGTACTTACAGGGCTGAGGCATGCCGCAAAGTGCACTCTCCAGACCTGGGTTTGGCTTTCATCACATGGTGATCCCGGGCATGACCTCAGCACTCGGAGATGCCACTCCTATGCGAACCCACGCTGGTCTCCATCTTTAGCCCACACCACTCTGTGTTTTTATCAATGCGCACTCTTGGGGGACAGGCTGGGGAGGATGCTAAAGGCACATGAGCAGAAGGATGATAAAGACATGTGATGACAGGGTTGACAACAGGGGTCAGGGCTGGCCATAGTAGATGCCAAGGGGGAGACTCCCCACCTTTCTCCTGGCAGAGGCTGAGGCAGGGCTAAGCAGGGTGAGTCTAGAAGGATGAGAAGGCATGCCACAGGCCTGCTTGTCCCAGTCCAGCTCCTGACACCCATCTCCTGTATGGTGGCCCCAGGAAGGGCTGCTGAGGGCACAGAGGTGCTGGCTGGTGGGTGGGGGGGGGAGAAGAGGCTGTATCCATCTCCAAGGGACATTTCACAAATGCACATGCTGTCACAGTGAAGCCATCAGGGGACTCTGGCCCCAAATGGGCTCCGGGAGTCTCCAGTCCCATTCTTCTTTGGCTCTGGAAGCTTTTCTGGGGCCGCCCTCTAGCTTCATGCCAGCCCCATTCCTTCTGTGGAGTGCCAAGTCCACTGACACCTCTCCTGCTGTCCTGTGTCCTTCTAGGCCTGTGTGGCTACCATGTTTCAGTGTGTACACTTCTGGGGCTGGAAGTCCTTGGAGAACCTCTCAGGGCAGAACAACACCAGCACCAGTGACGAGATGACCACCTTCCAGACTACCATGTGCTCCATCCTGGTGAGGAAGCCAATGGGGAGCCAGTTGTCCCAGGCAGCCACATGCTGGCTTGATGCTTAGAGTTGTGATGGTTCCCTTTTTTCTTGAGACCCTGCACTCACCTTCTAGACGCGAAATAGCCAACAGAAGGAAATGCAAACCACATACCTATTTTAAGGTTTTTAGATAGCAGAAAAGTAAAAAGAGACAAGAGATAATTTATTTAACTCCATATACCCAAATCACGATCACTTCAACATGCACTCAAGATAAAAAATATTATTGTGATATTTTACATGTCTTTGCTATTTGACACTTAATCCAGGCCAGCCACTTTCCAATACTCAGGAGCCACACGTGGTCAGTGGCTACTGTTTTGGGCAGCACAGGTTCGGGACAAATGTAATGGCCCCTCTAGAATCAGATAAGAGTGAGAGAGGGGGGCAAAGGTCCTTAACTTACAGTTACTAATCTGCTGTGTGATGCTGGGTTGGGCCCTTGTACCTCTCCTAGGTGCAAAGACACTGGTACATCAGACAGATGAGGATGCTGTATGAGCTGCCCATCTCCAGGATTGCATCCTCAAAAGCTGTGTGTGTCACTTATATTTTGCAGACTCAGAAAAAGCCTGCTGTTTCTACAGTTTCCTGCTAGAAACAATGACTTATGTTAAAAATAATTTGTCACGGATCAGAATTGCTGCCTGCAACTTAGCAGGTGAGTAGATAAATGTCTTCTGATTCAGGGTGGCCCTCGGACATCTGGTCAACCGCAGGTTTGGACGGGGAGGGGGACAGGTGGCTCGAATCTAACTTGCATATGATACCTCCACCCTGCTGGGTTTCATGCCTGCCTGACCTTGAAGGAGGTTTCCCTTGGCAACTTTGACTACTCCAAATCCTAACTGACATCCTCCTTAATAAAACCAAACCTTTTGCAGGGAGGGGCAGAATGGTCTGTCTGCTGACCTCCCATCTGTTTAAGGAGCATGTCTCTGGCTATGGCTTTAGGAATCATTATGCAGCAGATGTCTGCCCACTATCTGAACATGCTGGACCGCCCGACATTGCGGAACTGTAAGTGGTGTTCAGTTGTGCTGAGTCCCTGACTCACTGAGACTCCCTCAGGGAGCTTGGGAGAGACCATTCTGAAGGACAGAACCCTGACCCTGGGTTGTGAATTCATTTGGGGAAGAGGGAGGACTTTCAGGAATGACAACTATTTGACAGGAGGGGTCCATCTTGTCCCCTTTGCTGTTCCTCCATTCACAGATGCTCTTGGGCTGCTTCTGCTCCAATTCTGCAGTCAGGTTCTAGGGGTGACCTTATACCCACACTAGTGATGACTGAAGCCCCGAGAGGCCAGTAGTGGGTGTGGGACTCTCAGCTCCACCTGTCATTTTCTGGTTTCACTCCCAGGAGGTTCTGAGGGTGCCTCTGCTGCTGTCAGTCTGCCTTGGGCAGTAGTCAGCACGCAAGCACATGCTACTCATATAGAGGGTGTGAGGTCCTGACCGGGAGGTTGTTCCTTCCTTTCTGTGCCCTCAGCTCTCCAGGAGCTGCAGCTGGACTCAGATGCTGGGGTCAGGAGGGCTGCCTTGGAGACCCTCAAAGTCCTGGACAGCTGCAGTCAGCGCTGGTCCTTGGCTGCACCCACAGGAGTATCCTAAGTGTCCAGTGTAAGATGGGAGCTGTCTACTAAGAGTGAGAAATCCATCCATAGCAATGTGAACCAATTTTCATTTGAAGGAAAATGCTTCCTATAAAAGAATGAGCATCCTTTGGGAAATAAACCTCCATTGCTATTTGGAGTGCAGGCTGCTGACTACAAGGGGACATCTCAGAACCAAGCTAAAGAGGCATAGGGCAACTTCAGCCCTCACAGCCCTCACTTTATTCTTGCTTTTCCCTGGAGTGTGTTGGGACAGCCCCTCAGCCCACAGGACTGGCCTCCCTTTGTGTTTTTGCATGTATGGCTGTCCCACGCATGCTGAAGTGTGCCCATGACCAGGCAGTGTGCCAGGCAACAATCTACGGTTCAGCTTCAGCCCCCCACAGGGATCTCATTCATAGAGGAAAAGGCAGATGGATCTCCAGCTGACAACACCCAGGGGAGACTCATGGAGGAAGTAACATTTATACCAGGTCTACCCTCACCTTCCCATGGAGACCTAGGATTATCAAAGCATGTTTAGGAGCACAGTGGGGTCTGGAACAGAATTTGACTGGGAGTGAAAAGGAGAAATTAGCTCCATGTCCAAGAAACGTGGAGGGCAGCAAGGGAAGGGGAGCAGTCCATCACAGAATGGTCAGGCAAGAGGGACTTCCAACCCATTCCCACTGCAGGTGCTGAAGGCAGCACCACACGGGTCCCTTCAACAGGATGCTGGACAGCCCAGAGTGAGCCTTGCTAAAGTCCTCTTTAGAATGGTGAGTTTCCAGCTGTTTTGCAGCTCCCATGTGACAAACAACCCATGATGAAGTTGCTGCTGCTGCTATCAAAGCCTGGGGCCACATGTGCACATCTCTGCGGCCAAGGCACCCCTTGTGCCGGTGCAGAACATTTCCCAAGGGTTTGCAGACTGAAATGTGAACAGCAGAATTGAAGACAACATTCTGCTTATGATCTGGAGGGTAGGTTAGGTTTTCTTTTAAAAAAAAGAAACAAATAGAAGAGCGTTCTGAGAGGATGCTGGCAAAGCTAGGACCCCCAGGATGACATGCTTAACCTTAAGTCATCAAGAGAGCAAGTGGCTAGGATGGAGCTCAATGGTAGAATGATTGCCTTGCATGTTTGAGGCCCTAGGTTTGATTCTTAGCACTGGAGGGAGAGAGGGAGAGAGGAGGAGGGGGAGGGAAGAAAGGGAGAGAAAGGGAAGGGGAGAAAGAAGGGGGGGAAGAAAGGGAAAAGAATAATGTCATACTTCATGGTCACCATGGAGACACTGATTTCAAAGGTTGTCAGCAGCCACAGGCAGCAACAATATTCATAAATGGTACCTCTTATATTGCTGGACAAAGTGCACACCAGGTAGCTCTTGGGAAGGCAATTTAGGACATTGAAGACATACCCTTCTGTGACTAACAGTTGGCCTTTAGGTGTGCGCCACAACAGGTTTACAGTCCAGCACAAGGATCACAGGCCCTGTTCACTGACATCCTGGACAATGTAACAAACTAGTTAGGCAACTCTTAAAACAAGAGACACCCACTGTATCAGCTTTGTGTCAACACAAAAGTACTTAGGGGCTAGGTACTTCATGAAGAGGTTGTTTAGTTCACAATTCTGGAAACTCAAGGGCATGGTGCAGGCATCAGCCTGACTTGGTGAGGACCTCATGGTAGATGGTGGGAACACATGGGAGGAATTGGCACATCTTGAAAATGGGAAGCTAGAGAGAGCTGGATGGAGCCAGGCTAACACTTTCCTAAACAGGGTCCTGTAAAAAATTCAGTTCCTCTGAGGGCAGAGTCCCCAGTCAGGATAAGAACCTCCTATTAGCTGCTGCCTTTTCAGGATTCTGTACTCCCTCCCATACTGCCATCCCAGGGACCACTCTTCCAACACATGAACCTTTTGAGGACTCAATATAGACAGTACTAAATGACTTGTGTGAGTTAAAACAGAGACCGTATTACAGTTAATGGCAGATCCTACCAATTGGCTATGACCACTGCCCAAGCCCTGTCTCTCCTTCCTTCATTAGATGGTAAACATCAAAACTATCATCTCCCAACTTCCCTGGCAGCTCAGCCTGGCCTGGTCAGGGAGACCTCAGCAGTCTGTGGGGTCTGAGGGGGAGGCATGGACCAAGCAGTCCTGTAAGGATGGGTTGTGTTCTTAGGAAGTAGCAGGCCCCTCCTGCCTTGGCTGGACCTAAGCCAGCATCCATTGTCAGTGGATGTTTCTCTGAGAGAAACATAAGCCTCCTGTAAGGTTCAAGGTTCTTGGCCAGGCACTCAGCACAAGCAGTGCAGGCCTTGCCTTGCTGACTCAGTGTGGGACTGACTTGTGTTCCTCAGATCCAGATGCTGAAGCCCTAAGGCCAGTATGATGGTATTTGGAGGTAGAGGCTTTGGGAGGTGAAGAGATTTAGATGAGGTCCCCACTATGGGATTAGTGTCCTTATAGGAGGCACCAGAGATATCTTCTCCTATAATGTGAGGCCAGTGAGGAGGCAGCTGAGTACAGGCCAGGAAGGGAGCCATCTCCAGAACCTGACTATGTTTGCACTCTGATTTCAGACCCCCAGGCCTTCCAGACTGAGAAAATCAATCTGTATTGTTTAAACTACCCAGTGTAAGTAAGCTGACTTACCCATGCTATTAATGTGGCCCAGTTCTAAAGCCAGGAGTGGAAAGGAGAAAGGGCAACACCAGGAGAGTGACTGCTAAGGGAAGGGGGCAGGAAGGAAAAGCGTGCAATTCAATCTTGTCTCTAACCTTTTATTGAAAAGAATTCATAACACAGATGGCAACAGATCATCAGCTACTACTCTAGACAGCTGGTTCATGCATTTTGCTACTGAACTCTGTATATCTGAAATATTTCATTAAAAAGTCCCCATGACAGCCAGCCACAGACAGTCTCCATAGAAACAATGAGGCATCATGAGTGCTGTGTGGCTGCAAGTGCTTTGAGACTAGGTTGGGAACTGTTTAAATGCAACAGGTTTTCATCTCAAAACAGCAAGATGTTAAGAATCACTTTATATCATGCTTCAGTGTGCCATCTCCTGACGTGGAGGTTGCTAAGTCCACGGGTCTGAATTTAAAAGACTGAGCAGCTGTACTTCCTTCAAGGATTGGTTCAGGGCTTAAATGTTGTTTTAACAAAACAAGAAATCCAGGGGAGAACTCTGGACATGTTAAACTAGAAAAAGAAAACTTGAGAAAAACAAACCTGTAAGAGGCAACATTAAAAACTTCAGTTACATAATTTCTACACCAGGAACCTTTGATTTCCCTGAATTTGCAAAGGGGCAGATAAGTCAACCAAGTTGTCACATGTAAGGTTCAAGGTTCTTGGCTAAAAAAACAAAACAAAAGAGCAGCCAGTCATGGGGACACATGCCTGTAAGTCCCAGTTACATGGGAGGTGGAGGCAGGAGGATCATGAGTCTGAGGCCAGCTTGGGCAACAAAAGGAGACCGAGAGCCTGACTAAAACCAGACAGCAAGAGGGACAAGAATCCGAAGTAACCTGGCTATCGAATTTTTAGCTTTGACTTTTCTAATAAAAATTATTTTTCTCTTCCAACTTGAAAGATGTTCTTCTTTCCCCTAGAAGGAAAAGACAATGATTTTAGTCAAATTACACCAGACCTCCAATGCCAAACACCAAAAGCTTAACTGTTTTATGTTCCACTGCATGCATGTAAGTACTGTGTCCACTAGGAGAAATGCCATCATGTTAAAGAACCTAAGGAATGCTTAAACAAAACAGCACCAGGGCCCTCGTCAGGCTAGGCACCATGGTGGGCAAGTCCACAGACTCAAATCCTGACCTAGCCTACAAGACCTGAATGAGTTTGGGAGTTATCAGTCTTAGGCTTTGTTTCTTTACTAATAAGGACAAGCAGAACCTACGTAACCAAAGGATTCTCGTGGGGATGGAGAAAAGTGTGTAAAAGGCTCACATGGCCTGGCACACATTCCTCATGCAGTCCTGGCGTATGGAGATTTGATTGCCTCCTCCAGAAACTCATAGCTTAAGTAGGGAAAGAAGGAAAATATAGAACACAGGTAAAGCTTTACACTGTGGTTTGAGAGAGAATTGGGGAAGGTACCTGGCAACTACCACAATGACTTGCACCAAAGTCTAGGGGCATCTTGAGGGCCCCACTGGGCACCATGGCAGAGTACTCTGCACTGTTCCCTACTCCCAGGTGTTGCAATACCTGCCTATGCTATGTAACTTGGTGCCATTCTCTGTAAAGCCAAGGTCACAGGTACCAAGATGGCAGGACCTCACATGGGAGGGCAGAAGCTGAGGCCCAGACAGGAAGCCAGGAGATGGTGCTGTGCTCTGGGGTGGCACAAGAGAATCCAGGGAGCAGGAGGATGGTTTAAAAAAAAACAGATGGAAGAGGGGACTACTTGAGAAAAAGTTAAGGTCAAGACTGGCAGGGGCAGAGGAGCAGGGGACTTGTGAATGTGAGTGGGTAGGAGACCTTAGGGACAGCTCTGGGCTATCCTGAGTGAACTGCTCCCCTTCCAGAGATCTCAGGTTAGTCTGAAGTAACTGGAATGCATGAGCTCCACTCTCAAGGTCACCTCCATGAAGCCTCTGCCAGGAGGAGGGTTCCGGATCTCAAAGAACTCACCCTCTTGGGACTCGCTGAGCTGTAGCTGGTCACCCAGATGGCAGAGTGACCTGGGAGGCAGAGTGGACATGCCTTGTCAGGGACAGCTACCATACTGGGCATGTGGAGAACCCCGTTCCACGGTGTCCTGGGACTGGGTTTACTCTGCAGGTCTTGTCTGCCCTGCTATTCTCACCTGTAGTCCCGATCACTAGGAGGGTCTTTACACCTGGGTACTGATGCTAGTCCACAACCAGGAAGACAAAGGATGACACAGGCCTGTTTGCACTGCTTCCGGTTAGCAAACATAGAATTTTATACGTGAAAATAGTAAACACTGTATCTCCTCCTACAGTATGATGTGCCTAGGAGGAAGCCCTCATCCATACAGGGACCAAGGAAGACTGAAGGGAAAGGACTGGTGGAAGACAGCTTAGGGACAAAGCAGTAACTGAAGAGGTAGAAGACACCAGTAAGAATGCCCTGAAGAGGACTGGGGTGGAGGCTGCGGGAATGGCAGAGCCTGGCTGGGGTTCCAGGGGAGGCCACAGGTACCCAGTGACAGGAATGATGGTTGGTGGAGGAGCCACAAGGGAGGTGACTGGTGTTCACCCTCAGCACCAGCTGGATACAGCTGAGCAGGAGCAAGCTGCTGGGAAGGGATCCAGACCTGACAGAGGCAGAAAAACCAGAAAACGGGGCATTTGTGGCAGACGGGGTCCATGCAATGGAGGGCTGTCCACCTGGATAGGCTAAGAGTGATAGGAGGCCAGGGTCACTGCTTCACCCGCCCAAACTGCAAACAAAATCCACAATGCCCAGCCACATCCATCTGCAGGAGATACATGACTGCAGTTAGTGAAGAGACAGGCTGATCTGCCATTTAAAGGAAAAGGATGACAACTCACACTGGTCTGTTCTCCCCTCCCCCTCTGTCTATCCTATCTCCGGAGAAAGTAAGATGGCACACATGGGCACAGAACTGAAGTAATCTGCAGGAGATAGCTGGCACACAAATTTTATGCCTGATTACAGGCAGAGCAGGGCCAAGGGTCAGAGATGTGAAGTCTATGCTGACTGTTCTCCCCAGACCTGCCCTTGCACTGGGCCCACTAGGAATCAGGAAGTAGACAGAAAGTCCATATCTTCATATCAGTTTCACTTTATGACGGTATAAAATAAAGAGGTGGGAAAACATATTGACAAAAATGATAGTCGTGACAATTCTTAGGAAAACTCTAAATGCAATAGAAAATAGTAAAAATTTCCCTTTTAAGAACATTTTCAGCTCCATCTTGATGCATCTATGTACAATATGCTTATGATTTAAACGCTGACTTTAGAGGAAGGAAAGGAATTTGAGAGAATGTTGGAAAGTTAACTTACCTAAGAGTCCTGCTGGGTTTGGTTAAAAGTAGCACAGGGTTGTGGTTCAGTAGGAGTATGTGCCTTATATGCGGGAAGCCCTGGATTCCATCCCTGCTCAGCCCCAACAGCAGCACATGCAACACCACACCCCATGGAAACACAGCACCCTTCTCTTACCAGTCAGGCCATGAGAGGTTCATCTACTCTCCTGGCCTGGGGACGGTTTTGTCTCTGCTGCCGGAAGAATCCTGAGAATCAGCATGGCGTTCACACACTTGGGGGTATGACAACCTTCGTCTCTTTGCAGGGACCTGAGGGTCCCTTGTGGTGCTAGCCCAAGCAGTGCATGCAGACAGGGGCGCCTCACTTGTAGGCAAGCCCCGGGGACTTCCTGTGTACCCCTGGGGTGATGGTTTCAACTTTTGGAAACTCTGGGAGCAAGAGTCTAGTCTGAAGTTTCCTAATGAGTCTCTTGCTTGGCACTGAACTTCTGCACTGGCTTTACCCGGAGACACCCCAACTTGTAAGGGCACCTTTGGCTGCCGGGGTGATGTCTGGCAACACTTTTGATGAAGCCTGTCAAACTCTTCTTCAATTTTATCATAGCGATTCCTCTCATCACCTAGAGGTCCTGTCCGTGGTACTGAAATAGCTTTTCTGGGCGGTACTGTCTTTCTGAAGGTCTGTTGGGAGTGGCCTGGGCTCTGTGAGGGGAGGCCCTTTGAGATTAATGGAGAGAGACCACTCTTTGGGAGAAAGCTACCTTCTTCCACAGACCTTTTGCCCAGGTTTTCAAAAGCTTCACTTAAACTCTTTGCTTTTGAGCAGCTGAATGGTAAACTCAACCTGTAGGTTTCTAAGCCCTGGGGGCTACCTGGGCTCAGAGAACCACCTCTGTACACATCCATGGCCCAGGAATTTGGGGGGCAAGTCAGGTGAGGCTGTTGTTGTCTGGGATATGGACAACATTCCTGATGAAGTTTGTCAAATTTGCTTTCAATCTCCTTGTATCGATTCTCTGCAGGGCCCTGAAGCATTCTTGGTTTAGAAAACATTTTTACAGGTGAAATTAACCATTTTAACGCCATCAGCCTATTTTCCTGATCAAAACGGTGCACTGAGTTGAAGTTTAAATAAGTCAATGAAGAACGCTTCTGGGGTGTCATTTGAAGCATCTTGCAAGATGGATCTAACTTCTGGATTTGGGGTTTGTTTCCCTCAAGGAAAGCCTTTTCCAGTTTTAAACCTGTCCTGTGGCGAGTAACATGTAGCAAGTTCCTGCAGTCTCTTAGCGTACCTGACTTTTCCCTGGGCTTTGGGCATGGCACGGCCCTCTCCTTGGAGCTCCTCTGGGAGCGCCTGGCCCGTTGGCAGTAGGTCTCATTGAGGCACACCTTGCCCCTGTGCAGGAGCCTCCTCCTGGGGTTCCAATTCTGGACAATAAAGGTCTTGGTGGAGATGATGCTTGATGGCTTCATGCTCAGCAGCCGACTCATCGAATGCAGCATGCCTGCATACAAGTCACTGATGGTCACATTGCAAATGTCACTGGCTTCAAGAGTCTGGCTGCTTAAGCAGCTATTGCTGCTGGTTTCCAGTAGTGAGAGGCTGTCATTTCCAGAGGCTACGGCCATGCTTGTAGGACAAGGGCTTGAGGGGTCCCATTCTCTGGGGGAGGACACTGGCTTTGCAGGATCACCAGGGTTCATTGTAGATATATTCCCACAGTGTCCTGGGAGAGAACACAAAGTCAAGGTGTGTCACCACTCAAACCATCCACGTACACAAGGCATGGACCACGGTTTTAAACAGTAAAAAAACAAAAAAACAAAAACCCTATAAATTTTAGGAATAGACTCTTCAGAGGTTTCTTTTTAGCTATCAAAATTAGATTTCTACTTCCCATTCCAACTTCCTAAAAGGAGTCTTCTTCCCCTTTGGACTGCTGCCTTTTCAAACGCTAATCAGGAATCCAAAAATCCTGCCAGTGCCTACCTACAGAGAAGGAATAAGACTCCTGAATATGCCTCTTTCTTTGTGCAGCTTCAATGTATCACATGATGTTTTTATGTATTTTAAAAGGTAAAATCCAACCAATGAGAATCAGAAAAACCCTATAACTGAATGAGAACAGGAAAAAAAAGAACCTGTGTATCAAACTGATAACCAGAAGAGAAGAAAAACTCCAAATAACTTTGAACCCAACCCTCTGCCTGTGCTCCTTGAAGGGGACATCATCAAAGGATCAAAAGAACTGGCTGGAAATGCTGAAGAATGGTCACAGGTGCCACCAGCCTGTAGCCATTTTTTTACAGGAAAGTGACCGGATAAGCACATGTGATCGGGGATGGTGACAACCAGCACAGAAAGCAAATGTGGAATCAGGGTCAGGATCAAACAGAAGGGGACATGTCAGAGGACACAAGCCAGCCTGAAAGGGGACTCATCCAGGCTAAATGTGGAACCAACTGAGCAGCATGTTGAATACTGACAATGGATTATAACAGATGAGCCTAAGCCCCACGGGTTCTTACTAATTCTAAGATAGAAAAAACCAAAAAACAGCATATGGGGGAGACAAAGGAAAAACAAAACAAAATCAACTGGATGGGGGTGGTAGTGGCAGTGGTAGCAGATGTCCTGTGGAGAATGGCGCTTAAAGAAGGCAGGCAGGGGGAATGGCACAGCCAGAAAGGTGTGGCTACAACTACCAGCTCAGTCATTGTCACCAGATGCTAAAACCACCGTGTGAAAGGTCCTTAGGAAAAAGGCTGCCAGGTGATCTCAAAGGACCACCCACAGGGGACTCTGAGGAAAAAGGCCCCACTACAAGAAGTGGGGTGGGTTCTACTTGACTGAAAGACCAGACGTAGCAGTCACCAACAGGAAAGGCCGACATCATGTCCTGAGAGGACACGACGTCACACAGGTAGCACTATTTCCAAAAATGTTTACCATGAACTGTGAGGAAACAACCAGACAAGCCTAAACTGAGGGCCATTTGGCAAAAGTACTGGCCTGGACAGTGATGCTCTGAAAGATAACGCTGAGGAGCATCAAGGAGCTACTCCACACAGAAGGCAAAACTAAATGCAATGGGTGTGAAAGCAGACAAAATGGCCACAAAGGACATTCGTTGTTGACTCCACGGGTTGAAAATGCATTGTGTCAAGTTTTTGGCACATGCTAAGTTTATCATAGCCATGGAGACTCACCCTGTCCTTAGGAAGCATTCAGGGATGATCATACATGAAGTGAATAAAGATATACTGTGTGTGTGCACATGTGCACTGGGGAGGGTCAATGAAGCCACTACGACAAAATGCTAACTGATGTTATGAGGATGCTCATTGTACTTCTTTGCTTCTGGAGACTCAAAGATGTTTGACACATCCTAGTTTATATTCCTAGTTATTTGGGAGGCTGAGATTGGGGGACCACGGTTCAAGGCCAGCCCAGGCAAACAGTATGCAAGACCCCATCTCCAAAATAACCAGAGGAAAAAAAGGACTGGAAGTGTGGCTCTAGTGATAGAGCACCTGCTTTGCCAAGCACGAAACCCTGAGTTCAAACTGTGGTCCCACCAAAGTAAACAGTGCCACCTAGGGAGTGGGGATGAAGGGCGAGTAGCAGGCCACAACTGTAGCGGAAAACAAGCTCATCTGACAAGATCTCAGTTTTCAGGAGCGCCAATTGTCTCTAAGAATTCACATGGATGAAACACTGACAAAGGGAACACAGGCAAACAGAAGGCCCAATGTCAGTGGTGCTGAGCTGGGTCGAGCTGTATTTCTTGAGCCCTGCAGCTCCAACTATAGTGAAAGAGAAACACACAGTTCATTGTAAGTTTCTGCATCACACTTACCAGGGGCAGGCACAGCGGGTGAGGCCAAGGAGGGGACCAGGGTCATGGCTGTGTCTTTTCCACTTCCCTTATCTGCATCCTGGAATCAAAGGTTACGTGTAGTCAATGATTACAAGAGAGCTGTTGGATGTCAAGACCCAGGGTACACAGAGCTCAACTCTCCCTAGACAATACAGTGTCCCCAAAAATGGTGTCAGGAGCTGTTCCCTTTTCAACAGAACTGTGCATCTTAGCATGACAGCACTGCCAAGTGCGTGAGGGCACTGACAGTGGCTGGCTGAGCTTTGAGCCATGGAGGGAAGGAGTGTCTGGCCATGGGCATCCTCATCTGCCAGTAACTCCCTCCCCAGGAGGCTAGTAGCTTTTCTTCCTCCACCATTACAGTGGGACAGTTAGAACACCTAGGGCCAAATGGATGGTACACAATGACTGGATAAAAATGACTCATCTCAAGCCCTTCCTCTGATCAGCACAGCAACTGAGGACACCACCTGCTGTGCTAAGGTGAAGGACAGCCATTTCTAGTACATCTGCTAATCCCAGTCTCCACAGACAGGCTTCTCACTGATCAGCGAAGAAAAACTCCCCTACAAATCTGTGACTTTTATTGGGAGAAGAACCGCAATGTCTGCTTCCCAGTTTATGAAAGATGCTTAAAGACTAGGGAAACTACAGACATGGCATCTCACATATCCTCCACCTGTTGGCTTTGCTTTTTCCACAGCATTGGCAGGGGACCAGAGGGCCCCACATTAGAAGAAGGACCCGGGAGGGTGGTGCCTCTAGGACCACCTCAGCAGCCCCCATTCTGCCTCATCTAATATCATCTCAAACTAGGTAGGACGGGGTGGAGTCCTCACCTTGCTGCTGGTCACACCAGGGCAGGTGGGAGCCACTGCTTCCTGAATTGTGCAGCTTAAAACCCCCTGCCCAAAGCTGAAGCTGCCCTCACAGAGTCCCAGCATGAACCCCTAGATCTGTGAGCTACTGCAGGACAGTGGAGCACACCCTCACTAGGGCTCCTGGAATGTTTACTCAAGAAGAGAAGTCTGACAGCGTGTGAATAAAATGGTATGGAAAAAATTACAGAGCACAGGCTCTGTAGAAAGCCCTCAAAAGCAAGATTACACTGGACCTCATTCTTTCTGACCTAATTCTAAAGAGAAATGAGAAGAAGCAGGTACCTCAAACACTGATGCATCCTGTAGCAGTAGATCCACCTGGGTCAAGTATTTCCTTCTTAGCTCATCTTTCAAAGGGCTCCAAGGCACTGCAGGCTGATCAAAAAGAGAAGTCAATACTCCTGACAGCTGCGGGGTACAGCCCATCTTGGGAGTTCTGGAACAAACTGGAGGCTCGTTAATGCATAAATATTTAAATGCAGTTATTCCAAGTCACTTTTCACTTTATGCTTGATGACAGTACAAAGCAGTGCAGCCACTGTGAACATCTCCTGCCCTAGCATCTGACTGAGGGAACTCCCCAGGGCTAAGGACCAAAACCATACAGGACTGGAGGCCCTTATGACAACATTACTAGAACAGAAAAAAACTAAGAAGATTTAAACATTCATGGGAGAGTTCAGGAGTCAACTATTAGTAACAACCCCAACTGTTATTTGATCCGAGCGCTCCCACTCAAGGCCAGGAGGGGTTGGCTCTCCCAGCCCTGCCCGCCAGACACTGGTAAGAGGGTTCCAGTTTCCATGCTCTACACCTGCGAGTTGGGGCTTCAAGATCAGATGGGGTCAACCCACTGATAGTGGGGGATAGGCCTGCAACTTGGTGCTAGCCAACAAGAGAGACACCCCTCACTTCTTCCTTGCTGTCAAAATCTTACAGAACACTTCAGAAGGTATTTTGGAGGAAAACCAGGTACCAGTTATCCTAGCATCTAACAGCTCATGACCTGGGGCCAGGAAAGACCCAATCAGCAGGGAAGGTGAGAATCAGGCCGTGTAAGGTACTTCTGTGACCCTTGGGACACTCAGGCAAAACAGACACAGAAACAATACTTACTGTTTAGCTTAGTGACAGCTACCTGATCATGTGACCTCATGACCTGATGGGTTGTCAAGGGCTGACCTGGACCTATGTCCCCTATGACACTGTCTGCAGGCAAGGCTGACTTGGAACCCAATTCACAATGTTTGGTCAGTTAAGGCAAATAGCATGCTGTGATTCACAGCAGTGACAGTTCCAGCCAGAGTGAAAATCCGCCCCCAGTAACTTACAGCAGTGTTCAGTAACCTCAGGCTGGACCTGAGGTTAGAACTGGCGGCCAAATGTTAGCCGAGAAGGAATGATTTATGTCTTAGGGGACCTGAAAGAGGGGTTCAAAGACCCAAGAGTAGCAGGAACAAGAGGACTTCCAGAAAGATGCAGGGAACTTTGCCCCAGACTGCACAGTGTCTGGGGGCTGAGGCTGTGGACCGGAAGCACTGGTGCTCTCCATGCATTACCAGATGGCATGTCTTACCATTAAGGCACAAGCAAATGGATCCTCCTGGTCTAACGGTGCTTTGGCATCACTGCTTTCTGAATCTGAAAGTAAAAAAGGAAATGTCAAGCAGAATACTTAGGGAAGTTTGCACACCACATCTCAAGGACAGTTTTTATATCACTTGAGTATGTTCCACAGTAAAAATCCCTGTTGCTTCAAGAGTGATCCTCTCGAATAAAGGGATACCATCACTGATCATGATGAGGACCCCAGAACGGGAGCATGACTCAATCATAGCAAAAAGGAGCAGCTGATTTTTTACCCCTGGCTGCTCTTTCAGTAACCCCTGATCCCAGACGCTGAGATGCTCACCCAGCACAATCCTGGGTGATAGAGTTCCCAGAAGCAGTCAGTCATGAGCCACGTGAGGCTGCTAATAGGTAGACTGTGGCCAGTCAGGCAGAGGAACTGAACTTTAAATGTAACTGAACTTTCAATCAATGTAAATAATCACAGTGGTTAGTGACAGCTCTTAAATAACTATCTTCAGTTGTTTTTGGCAGTCTGGGAAATTCATGGATCTAAGGACTTATGGAGTTAGGATTTGAATTAATACGAGTAACAAATGACATCCACAAGTAAATATCTTCATTGAGGTTTTCTTCCTAATTCTACTTTGAAAGACCAATTTTCCCTTCAGTGACTCAATGTGTATTACTGAACTGTGCATTGGAGGCAAGGGAAGGACTGCAGAGGCCGCAGGAAGGTCAGTGTTTGTACTAGGAATGGGTGTTTAAAGTTACAAATGAGAAGTCCCAGGCATAAAAGGCTTAGAGAAAAGTGGGGGTCTGTTCTGACGTGGGGGCCAGGGAAGCCCCCCGGGCAGCAATTTGACACGGCATGGTCAAATCAGGCAGAATTTCAGACCGTGCTTGTGGTCGTGGCTTTTACCCAAGAACAACGGGAAGCCAGTGCATACTTCAAACAGAAGCAGCCTGACCAGATTCCCACGTGTGTCCATGGAGTAGACGGAAGCCACATGGGGACAGGAGCTAGCACTGAGGGGTACCTAGGGGAAGGGGTAGTGTGGGGACTGAGGGAGAACATGAGGCAAAGGCATAGGTCAGCAATGCCTTGCATGTGAAGAATGAGGGAGAAGCTGAGAAAAGGACTCTGAATTCTGGCTCATTCAGAGGGAAGACGGTGGAAGGGCCCTCCTCCCCTGTGGTGGGACCTAGGAGGAAGAGCAGATCTGCTGGTTTTCTTTCCTATAGATATGCCAAGTGTGGACGTAAAGTGTTTAAGCAGAAAGCTAGGCAATAAAGCATGACCCCTAAAAGGTCTGTGCTGGAGGCAGACAGCAGGAAGTGGTGAAGCCAGGGGGCCCCAAGAGTGAAAGCCAAAGACAGGCTTGGACCAATGTCCAAAACTGACCAGGAGGTAGGCTGACAGCCCGGGCTGAGAAGGAAGGAGAGGCAGGAGGGAACTGGGAACTGGAAGAGCAGAGTGTGCGGAGGCAAAGCAGACCTTCAGAGTCTTTGCATGCTGACAAGAGGGCAGGAAATAAAAACCAAGGGAGACCACAATATTCAACAACTGGTCTACCAGAAACCTCGCCCAGTTAGGCTTTAAGACAGCCCAAAGCCAGAATGGACTGGATGAGCAGCAGCAGAGCAGCAAGAACTTGATGCAGCAAACACAGGCACCTTCCTGCAATTCGGATGCAAAGGGAGTGAATGGAGAGGGAGGCAGAGAGGGACCAGCAGGGAGGCAGGGGGGATTCATAGGGTGTGTTGTATGTGTTCAAGGTGACATCCAAGCATGTTTAAACACCGAAGGGTCCCTCCTGGGTAGAGGGAAGGCTGAAGGTAGAAGGAAAGAAGGGCAGAGAGGTGGCCTAAAGGGAAGGGAAAGGAGGCGAGGGAGAGGGAAGAAGGTGACCGCAGAGGCAGGACAGCTTTCTATAAGTGGACCTTCACAACACAGTCCTGAGGGACAAATCTTATGCCTCATCAAACCTTGACTTTTTTTTGGCTTTCTGAGACAGGGTCTCACTATGCAGCCCAGGTTGGTCTCAAACTTGCAATCCTCCTGACTCAGCCTCCTGAGTGCTGGAATTGCAGGCATGAGCTGTGCTGAGCATAATGTTAAACGTTTTTAAATTGAGGAAGTGTGTTCATTTATCAAGAATTATCTGAGTGCTAACCATGTCAGACAGTACGGATGTAACTGTGGGCAAGACAAGGTACCCTACCTTCCTGAGAGATAAGGAGGGCATAAGAGGGCAACTTAAGATGTCTTTTTAAAATATCCCTCAGAAAAAACAAAGACCTTAACAACAAGGAATTTCATCTTTAAACTTGTAACGGTGACTTGCGTGGCCCAGTTCCTCTTGGCCTCTTTTTCTAATCAGGTGACACTCACCAGTTCCCAGGACTTGTATGCAGTGCAACGAATGCTCATTACCTTTGGCTTCAGCTTGCACGGGGCCATCTGTCCTGTCCACCTCATTCACAAGGGGGTCCTCAAGGTGGAAGAATCAATAAAGACAAGCTTGTTTGAATAGCAGCACATTTAAAAATAAGCCACTATAAAATAACAAACCTGCAACCCTGCTCTCAGTCTCCAGCATAGCTTGAGATGACAGGTGTCAGGCTAATTTTAGGTAGTTCTATATATTTCTAACCTCGGCTAAAACAATCAAGATTTGATTTCATGACTGCTACTAATGCTGTGTAAACTTAACCTTGATGTTCTCATTCTTGAGAACAGGTTCCTTGACCTATAACCATGAGGAAGAACCATGAATCGGTGATTCACAGAAAACTAGACTACTTTGTAAAAGCTACTAGGGCAAAAGGTTACTATATGGAGCCTCACAGGAGGAAGGCAAACGGTATGGACACCATCCAGGAAACTGATCAAACTCAGCAGCTGCGAAGTCCTGGGAAGACCTGGGGGGAGTGCAACCTGTTCTTGAAAGGTAGGGAAAGGCTGAAAGAAAAGTGAGTGATCTTGCACTCCCCCTCCCCCTTACAGGAGAGGAAAAATAGATATTTCTCTTTGCCAGAGGAATGGGAAAAACACTCCCAGCTGGGCTGGTGCATGGCCTCCAGGTCATCCAGCTGGCCCAGCCTCTACAAGTGTGAGCCAGTAGCCAGAGCCCACAGTCTACGACAGAAACACAGTAGCTAGCTCACAGTGCAGGCTGGCAGCAGGGCTCACCATACCAGTATCCATTCACACCTATCTCCTCCAGAGCAATGCATTAGGTGATAAAATAAATACCTGGATTTGTCCTTTCCTTCTTTCTTTTATTAGTTTTCCTCCCCAAATTCTCAGTCCTTAAGAAAAGAAACAAAAATGACAACGTAAGTAATACAGAACACTCAATTTCTGCTTGATTTGCATTCACAGAAAGCCAAAGTGACAGATACAAAAAGCAGTCCCATTTCTGATATATTAATAGCAGTCCCCATTTCTAATAGTCTGTTGTTGCTCACCTTTGTGAAGTAGACTTTTAAAAATCAAGGTTACACAAATGTATCACTAATGGCAATCTCTTCTGCCTAGTAGGCAGCAGTTCATCAAATTATATCATTAATCTGAAAAGTTAAAAGAGGAATATACACATCTGGAACTGCCCTTAAAACGTGTACTTATGGAGGGCAATCTCACACCCATCTTGGGACTAAGTATTTTTCTGAAGGCAATCCACGTAGTAGACAAGCAAGCCCAAGCACAGGGCAAACACTGAGTTCTGGAGTTCAAGTGCACCCTCCCCTGCCACTTACTAGCTGACAGAACCTGGGTAATATACTCAGTCTCCCCACTAAATCTCCTGGAGAGACACAATCAATAAGAAAGGATGGTTGGGTTTTGAGGCTTGGGATGGTTGTTAAGGATAATTAAAGTGAAAAAATTTACAAGGCACTTACCACGCTCCAGGTTCTAAGCACTTTGCAAAGTACGGGTCCTTAAGTACTCACCACAACCCACCTCCACGTAACTCGGATAGTTCCTAACACCCCAGGGGACGGGCTTACCATGTTCATTGTACTGATAGACACATGAAGGGAAAGGGAAGTTCAAATGACCGGCTCATGTGCTGGAGCCATGGTGTGACTCTGTGCCACGAAGCCTTTCCAAAACAGTAATGCTTGAGCACATGGGCTCAGAGTCAAATCAAGGCTTTGCCACTCGCACCAATTGACATGGGGCAAGTTACTTAACCTCTCTGTGCTCTATACATGCTTAACTGCGGTCATTCTAAGAGTGCCTATCTTGCAGGGTTGAGTATCCATACAATGAAACGTGTAGAGCATGCAGGAAGTTGTCAATACGTGCAAACAACCATTCTTCCCTGTCTTCATCACAATCACTGTAGCTACTTCTGCTCTACCTTCTATGGTGTTGCCTCAGATTGGGAGTTCACACTGTTACACAAGGAGGGCCACCACCATCTAAAAGGCCATGAGTCTCTCAGGATAAGCAATAGGACAAGGGACCTGTGCCATGAACATGAGCTACAAGTTTGTTAGGATGCAGACCTATTGATTCAGCATGGAGCAAAGCAGCTGGTGGTCCCCCTTGCATGTCTATCAGTCAGTTCTCCAGGTGCTCTGCTACATGCTAACCTTTGACTGCTCTCAAGAGTCTTCACTGGCAAAACTGATGGCATCTAAGAACGTGGATTGTCCAACACATTTCAGACACTGCCTGTCTTTATATGAACAGGCCATAAGAACAGTGAAGACAGCACCTATGGAAACAATTCCTTGTATATCACCTTGTGTTCTGTCCCAGGCCAGAGAATAAAAGAAACCTGTTGTGGTACTCTTTCAGTTTCTGCCCATGCAAAATTTTCACCAAGTGTGGCTGGATCAGTCAAAAAGAGAGTGAAGATTTCATTCAATCAAGAAATAGGTCTTTGTTTTGTGGTACTGGGGTTTGAACTCAGAGCCTCATTCTTGTTAGGCAGGGACTCTACTACCAGCCTAAGAAGTGGGTTTTATGAACTTTTTGTGCCTGTCTAATGTGAGGCAGAATATGATCTGAAATTTGCTTTCATTAGTAAGGAAGTGTTGGTAATAAGGCCATATGGGTGGAACTGGGCTCATCCAGTGCAAACTTTCTCCAGCTACTTATCAGAGAATCCATGAGATTTCAGGCAGCCTGTGACTTAGCCATTAAACAAAACAGCCTCTCGTGTACATCCTGGTATAATACTTAAGAGCCTCAAAGAAGACGGTTGCTGGTCCAAGAACATCCACTGTGTTTACCAGTGCCGAACGCTGTCCCAAGAGCTGCACAAGCAAGATTGCTACCATATCCAGATATTATGGTCATCATCTCCCCCATGTTACTCATGAAGAGACCTAGACACAGTCTCACAAAGCAATGACCCCAAGGTGGCAAGCATTTTTTTTGGGGGGGGGGGTTGTGGGGGGAGCTAGAGGTTGAACTCAGGGCTTCACACTTGCTAGGCATGTGCTCTATCACTACAGCCACTCCACAGTCGTCCGTCCCCTTTATGTGGTGGTACTGAGGTTTGAACTTAGGGCCTCACCATTGTGAAGCAGGCACTCTACAGCATGAGCTCCATCTCCAGCCCTTTTTGCTCTTGTTATTTTGGAGAAAGGGTCTGGCTTTTTGCCTATGTCGGTCTGGACCGTGAGCCTCCTGTCTTATGTTTCCCACTATCACTGGGTTGACAGATGCATGCCACCACACCTAGCTGTTTTTCCTGTTGAGATGGGGGTCTCACAAACTTTTTGCCCGGCTGCCCAGAACCTTGATCCCCCTGTATAGCTTGGGATGACAGGTGCACGCTACTGTGCCCCGCCCAGGTGTTGGTTGAGATGGAGTCTCAAGAACTGTTTGCCTGGGCTGACCTGGAACTTTGATCTTCCCAGTCTCAGCATCCCAAGTAGCCAGGATTACAGGTGTGAGCCATGTTGTCAGGCTCAGGGGCATTTTTAAAAACCAGGATGCATCTATGTGTCTTCAGAAATTCTATTTAGGCAAGTAACTCTGTTGGAAATAAGTAACTCAGAGGTTCAAGGAAACAGGTGATGTTTCAGTTCCAATCAGGTGAACAAGTTTTACTTTGCTAAGAGAGAGAAGATAGCATGTCAAATTCTAGGTCACGCCAATCTATTTACACTGTTAACAGTAAGTACTCAGGTTGAGAATGACTCCTACCCTGGGGCGTCTCATAGGTCAGCGTGGCCATCTGCACCAGCGGGTCATCCTCGAAGGGCTGGTTGTACTGCGGGGCAGAAAAAGCGCCTGATAAGGTTCCAGGGTCCCGGGAGCAGGAGCAGGGCAGAGGAGGCGCCTGCGCGCGAGCATGTCCAGGGCACCCCAACACCCTCCTCGCGCCCACTCTGCACCCAAGCCAGGCCTCCCACGCTGCTCACCAAGCCTCCAGCCCCGGCGGCAAGCTCGCTGCATCCAAGCCCCGACCCTCTTTCCGCCCCACCCCGTCCCGGCCGCCCAGACCCAGGCCGCCCTCCAGCCGGCCGGCCGGGCCCACCTTCTCTATCAGCTGCTGCATGCGGATCTGAAAGCGGCTGCGGCTGTTCTTCAGCTTCCGCAGCAGCTCGTCCTCCTTCAAGCCCTTGTCCTCCATAGCGCGTAACAGTCACAGCCAGTACTCCACAAGGAACCCGGGCCGCGGGTCCGTGAGCGCAGCTCAAAAACGCCGCCCCGCCCTCTCTGCTCGCCTCTCGGGTTCCCATTGGCTGACGCCGAGAGGACAGGCGTTGATTGGGCCTTTCAAACATGTTATGGCCCGAGTTTTCGGCCTCGCCACAGGAAGCACATCTGGCGGAAAGAAGGGCGGGTCGGAGTCTGGATTCGGCTGCATTCGGCTACATTCGGCTGTGTTCGCCTGCAGTTGGCTGTATTTCGCTGCATTCGGCTACCATCGGGTGGAGTCGGCTGCAGTCGGTGGATGCCGAGGGAGGGACGGACTTTTGCGCTTTATCTATGTCTCCCTGCGGCAATCTTGTGGAATACAGCAAGCCCGACTTACTGATGGATTTATTACGGTGGTTTTGACTAAGCGTGGTCAAATAATAATGATAATAATAAGTTTTAAATTAAAAATAATGTCAAAAAATTTAAATTCCCGTGGGAATATTACATCTCAGTTGATGAGAAGCTCTCAGTCCCACGTTATCAACAGTTGTGTTTAAATCGTTGTGTGATCTGCCCTTAATATTATGAAAGTATGCCTCCCTAACGACAAGGTAAAAGGTATGGTAATTCTCCAAAGCCAAAAAGGGCGCAGAATGTGCTTGATTTAAGTGATAAAGTGAAAAATTTAGATTTGTTGGAGGGTGACGGCATGTCTTTGGCATGGGACAAATGAATCAAGCATCCACACTATTGGAGACAAAGAGCGTGAAGTAAGATCCATCTTCAGTGCAGCACTAGAAACAGCAAAGATGGTATCATTAATTCGTGATAAAACACTTTCAAAGACAAAAAAAAGCGTTGACTATTTGGTTAGAAGACACGTTAGGAGGAGGCGCTAAGCCTCCTGAACAGCACTTGAGGAGGAAGACAGAAAGGAGTTCAAAGCTAGTATAGGCTGGTTTCAGAGCTTTATGAGGCATTACCAACTTAAAAATTTGAAATAATCTGAGAATCAGCATCAGCATATTCTCAGATGAGCTAAAGACAATTAATTCAATGAAGATGGTTGCATTCCAGACAAGATTTTGACTTGTTGAAAGTGGGTTGCTTTGGAGAAAGATGCCTGACTATACTTACATCATAAAAAATGCAAAGTAGGCCAAAGAATGTAAGGCTTTTAAAGATCGCTTGACACTGGCGTCAGGTGCCAATGCTGATGGACATATAGTAAACCCTGGCTTAGTGTGCAGTGTTAATAATCCAATACCACTGAAAACCAAAAAAGGTCTCCTTCCCCATATTTTGGCAGCATAACAAGAAGGCTTGGGTAATACAGTTCTTTTCATTGAATAGTTTAGGGGTGTTTCACTGGGAAGGTGGAGCATACTTAGAGAGAACGGGTTGCCCTTCAAGGCTCTCCTCATCACTGAGAACCCTCCTGGCTATCCTGAATGAATTACGTATGAAGATGAAAATGTCAAAGTGGTTTTTCTTCCTCCAAACACTAGGAGTCACAGATTCAGCCTCTGGATAAGGGGCGATGAAATGCACTAACTCACCTGATGGTTGGGAAGATTCAGCCTGCCGTGGATGAGAACCCTGAGAGCGATGTCCTGGGCTTTTGGAAAAGATTCAGCATAACCGTTGCCATTGCAATCATGAAGGAAGCTGTGGATTCAGTGAAGTCCAAGACAGCTGATGCTCCATGGAGGGAGGCTGACACCAATTCACAAGGGCTCCCTACAGTTGACGGCCATGTAAAGCATGTTATTTTGATGAAAAGGAACTTGGAGGTGAAGGGTTATCTGATATGATAGAGGTGACATTCATGTACTTCTTGAGAACCATGGGGAGACTCTGACTGATGACAATCTTGAAGAGCTGGTAAAATCATCTACTAAAGAGGAGGACTCAGAAGACAGTGATGACCCAGATCTGCCGTTTTGGACTTTGGAAAAATTCTTCAATGTATTTTCCAAAGCCCAGGAGTTGAGAGATTTGTTTAATGAGTTTGACTCTTCAATGGAGGATACCATTCACGACACCTGTGGCATTATGACTATCTACAACCACTGAAGAACAAGCTTGAAGTTCTCAAATGGGAAAAGAAACAGCTTCCTATTAACAATGTTCTTTAAAAAATTGACTAAGTCTCCCAAGTCTACTTTGGAAAATCCTCAACCCTCAACTTCCTCAGCCCCAGACATTGCCTTTACACCATTTGAAGCCTCTGTCTCACCTAAATCTTCATGCACGTCACCTTCTTGGCAAATCCTTCACAGAGGCACAACGTGTACTGTCTGAATCTCTTCATTTGGACCCAGTCTGTCATCTGGTTGGAAGATGACAATTAGCCTTAGTCATCATAATCTCTGCAGTGTCATTTATCACAAGTGTTTTCATTTCATGGACCCTGTAGATAATACCATCAACGTCACAAACATGAAGATGAGCACATCAAAAGCCAAGATTTAGGCTGGGCTCTGGTGGCTCACACCTGCAATCCTAGCTACTTGGGAGGCTGAGATAAGGAGAGCTGCAGTTCAAGGCCAGCTGGGGCACAAAGTTAGTGAGATCATATCTCCAAAATAACTAGAGTTGGAGGCATGGCTCAAGTGGTAGAGTGGCAGCCTAGCAAGAGTGAGGCCCTGAGTTTAAACCCCAGTACTTCCAAAAAAAAGAGGCAAGATTTGGGGTTAAGATGAGTGCTAACATTGAAAAAAAAATGCTTTTTATATCTTGTTATGTTCACTAATCTCTTTCAGATTCTGGACTGTTTTCATTTTTATTGCACACTAATTTGATAAGTTTTTCATAAACTTAGGAATTTTTTGTTAAAAACTAAGGAAGAACAAACAAACCAAAAAACCAAAACCAAAACCAAAAAAATCTGATTTGTTACCTTATGCTTTAGAACTTAAACAGCTGTTCATTAGTTTCCAAGGATACCACTAGAGGGCAGTATGTAACATACGTAAGGTGAATTAAAATACAAGGAGGAAATTTTTCTTGTGTGTATAGGTTGGGTGTTAGAATTTTTGCGTTAGTACTGTGCAGCATTGTCCTAAGCGTACACTACTGCGCTGTAGATTTTTGAGCATGTACACACACTAAGGGGGAATTTGTAGGCTAAAAGAATAAGACACTGTAACGTTTGCATATTTCAGGAGGTGGTATTTTGGCAACCAGTGTTAATGTATGCAGTAGTTTTGTGACAGTAATACAGCCTACTCCATGTGGCTTCAAGTTATGGATGTTCACTCACTGTAATACAGTATAGGGAAAATTTAGAGCACTGAACTCTGTGTATCCTGAACATTCATGGTTTTTCCTCAAAAGTGGTCTCCTGGGAACCATATGCCCAAGGATAGCAAGGATTGACTGTACATATTATTTTTGAATTTGTGAACTTGAGACAAGTGCAACCTAGGGAAGTCTGGATGACTTATGTTGGTCTTGCAGCAGGGTGGGGTGCCGTCCCTTGTTTTTCTGGATGGATTTCTCACCCTGCCCACCATGGTCCCCATGCAGTTATAGGGTATAGGCAGAGAAGAGACTGAGAAAGACAAAGCTAAATTGCCAATACAAAAGGAGGCAGGAAAGCTGTGTTCATTTAGACAGAAAAAGTAAATTCTTACAGATGACACATTTAAAGGTGCCAACATCAGAATCTGGGAAATTGTAGTATTTTTATTAATTCCACACATTTCCCCTTGCATTTCTGATTACATACTCTGATTTTTCATTCTTGTAATAATTTCTAGTGTGAATGGAAAGATAATTCAGCCTCTATTTTGTGATGGGCATTTATTTTGTGATTGACATTTTCTCCCGCTTCATGGTGGCCATATTAAAGTGCCTGTGCTGATGTGATGCTCATCAAAGCACTGCTGAGCACCAGTAGGTCCCTTGACCAGGCTCTTCACCTCTCAGTCTGCACCATGGTCCTCTCATGTCATCCTGCAGAAATTTGGGGAAAAAGAGGATGTGAGAGGAACTTCAGGGCTCATGCAACATGACACCCACATGTCATGTATTGTGATGGACAAATAGATGTACCATCCAGGTCTCTTTCAAGGTGCCCCAGCTTCTGGAAGGGCTCACCAGGGGCCTTCCATTGTTAGTCTCTTTTGGAATTGTCTAGGTGCAGAGAGCTGCCTCATGAAACAGGCCCTGTACAGTCCTGTTTCAAGTGGAAAACTGAAGGCTGTGCTGGTTTAGTCCGATGGAGAACAACCCCAGGGGGCTAATTCTCTCTCCCCACCTGCCAAGGTAACCTGTCCAACCCATTCCTTTCCCTCCCTTCTTCAGGTGCTGGTCTATAGGGTACTCCCTCACAAGCTTCCTGCACACTACCTCCAGCTGAATCTGCATCCTGGAGAACCCAGTGTGCTGCAAATGACCACTGAATCTATACAGCTCTTAGTTTTTCCAGTGTTCACCAACAACAGAGGTATCTTCCTCCCCCTCGTCCTGTGGGAGTGTTCAGAAATTTTACATGCCATTCCATTGAACGATGTGCTTCCACACATATGTTAATTTCAAAACATTTAAGTTGGCACATTTAGAGACTTGAACCCTTGGGTAAGGATTTCTTTTTATTTTCCTTTAAAATTTTGGGGAACTTTCTCTTGTATGACTCTGTAGCATGTGTGTGACAATGCTACTTTTAAAAACTGGCATTTCCCAAGGTTGTTCCTTATCTCTGGGAAACCACTTCCAGGCTCCAGAAAATTTCATGGGTATCTTCAGGAGAAAGATTTCTCAGCCTGAAGTTCAAATCTTTAATTGAAGTCCAAAGCACACCTGATTTGGCCAATCCAAAGTCCCTTAGCTCTTGTCACTCTGGCCCGCTGGTCTCTCAGTTCTCTCTGGCCTTCCCCATCCCATGGACCCAAGAGGTGGTCCAACTAAGGGAAAGGGGAAACTTGCAGGTTCTAATTTAATGCCATCCCTCGCAACCCTTTACCCAGCTTAAACATGTGACCTCAGGAATCCAGACTTGCTAAGAAA